GCAAGTAAAGTGCCGAATTCAGACCAATTTTATGAACCAATTGGGATTGGTTGTGGATTTTCCCAAAAGTGGAGGATCGGCTAAGTCAAATTTTATATTATAAAAAATATATATTATTTATACATACAATATTTCAAAATATAAGTCAAAATTTTCTAAATTTTTAGGTACTAGTAACGATGGAAATACTGCCCGCAGAGCTTTTGCTAACTATAAATCAAATGCAGAGATATTGAAAGTTGATGAAACTCTTATGCATCATTTTTATATTATTTTAGTCACTTTGTCATCAGTATATGAAATAGATATTTGCATAACCGCTGTAAAACTATATATATCAAGTTATTTATGGTGCTATACTTTCTGCTAAACTTTCGGAAACATTTTAGCAGAAAGGCCTCAAGACAAGATACAAACCAAGATTTGATCAATAAGCTTCTTGTATCTAGTGATACCGGTTATAACATCTCTTAGAAAACTAAAGTTAAGTAATAATCAAAGTTTGCATAAATTTCCCAGTAAAGTTCTAGAATTGGTGAGAGAATCAGCTCCGTAACTTGATGATTTTTAACATATAAATTAGTCCAAGCTTTATTTTCTTTTTTCTTCGCGTTTTTTAAATCATAATCTTTTTTTGTATAAAAAAACTTAAAATGATGACATTGAGAATGCAATAGGTCTTAAAAATAAAAAAAACATAATATTTTAGACTAGATCATAATTAATCTATAGACTTTATCTTTAAATTTAAAATGTCATGAGTCTTTTATGAAAACTTGAGCAAATATAAAAAAATTATAAATCCGCGTTTTTAAAGTTTTTTTAAATTATTTTCTGTTTATGCAATATTTTAACTAAAATTTGTAATAAAAGTAAAAATTTCTTAACTTAAGGTGGAAAACCCCTCAGAAATATGAAATTTTTGAAAAAAAAAAATGTTTTCTTGTTTTATGAAAAATTTATCACAGATTCACAATCTGAAAACCATTTTTAAAAATTCGCTATAGATCTTCATTAAAATAGATTTTATTGAACCCTAGTATTGAAAGCTTCCTTAACAACCGCCATAGCAACGACACTATTTTTTACCTTTACTAAAAAATAGTCCAAAACCTATTTTTTTATATGAAAAATATATCTTGTCAAGTAAATTATATTTAAGCCATTGTTCAAAACAACTTTAGTATAAAAACAGTTACTGGAAATCTCATAAATATATCATAAATCTTCTACAATGGCTAAGGCTTGCAGAGTTAAACAAAGAACTAAAAATCATAAAAGGAAAAAAATATTTAATGTAAAAAAGAACTTAGTTGTAAATAATGTTGATATGGATGTAAATATGGAATCGAATATTGTAGATATGAATATAAATGTTATTACAAGTGTTGAAGATGTAAATGTAAATATGGAGAAACCAGTTGATCTTAACTTTATTAATTCTAATGAAATATGTGCTTCTGCTAGAAAAATAAAAAAAATTTCGTCATCGCATCCAAAGGTATCTAGTAATATAGTTACTGGATACCGTTTTATAGATTTAGAAATACTAAATTCTATAGTTTCTACCCTTAGATGTCCAGAATGTATGTCATCTAAGTTGTTTCTCTCTGAAAATGAAAACAAGAGAAAAGGTCTAGCGTCTTGTCTTTATGTTAACTGCTGTGTGTGTGATTATTCAAGAGAATTTTACACCTCAACATTGAATATACAAAAAAGTTTTGATATTAATACCAGGGCTGTATATGCTATGAGATCATGTGGTCAAGGCTATTCTGGATTCTCAAGATTTGTCTCATTAATGGACATGCCTAAACCAATGACTGCTAATAATTATAATAAAATTGTTATAAAACTAACTAATGCAGTAAAATCTGTAGCTGAAGATACTATGATGGATGCTGCTCAAGAGTTAAAAGACTTGAAGAGTAATTTTATTTTAAATTCTATTCCAGACCATGTGCCCAATGTTATTGATGTTGCAGTATCATGTGATGGCACTTGGCAGCGACGAGGCTATTCTTCAAACAATGGTGTTGTTTCTGTTATTTCGATGGAAACAGGCAAAGTAATAGATGTTGAAGCTATGAACAAGTTAAGTATACAATTTGGTTGTTTTGTTTAGGTTTGCATATATGCATATATATTATATTGTATATATTCATATATATGTTTGTGTGTATGTAAACACCCACCTAATTTAATATATATGTACATATATATATATATATATATATATATATATATATATATATATATATATATATATATATATATATATATATATATATATATATATATATATATATATATATATATATATATATATATATATATATATATTACATACTAGAAAGATTGTTATTTTTTAATATATGGAAATCTACTTGATGTTACATACTTCAGATTTTAATATTTTTTCATCAAAATATAGGTATGTAAAGCATGTTTTCATAAAGAACATCTAAAGAAAGGAAACCCATTAGCCTATGAAATATGGCATGATAAACATAAATGTACTTTTAATTACCAAGGACTACCTGGTGGAATGGAGCCAGAGGGAACCCGCAGAATATGGGGTAGATCTATCGAAAAACATAATCTACGATATACTGATTTCTATGGCGATGGTGATAGCAAAGGTTATGATGCTGTAAAAAATGTTTATCAAGGTGTTCTTGTAAATAAACTTGAATGTGTTGGCCATGTGCAAAAAAGAGTTGGAACACGTTTACGTAATTTAAAAAAAAAAGAAAAAGGTCTTGGTGGCCGTGGAAAATTGACCGATGCAACTATCGATCGTCTCCAAAATTATTATGGCATTGCAATTCGCCAAAACAAAAATAATTTAAGTGCTATGAAATCTGCTATAAGAGCTACACTTTATCATGTTGCTTCATCAAAAAATGAAAATTTACATTTTCCTCACTGTCCAGAAGGTTCAAATAGTTGGTGTCGGTATAATCGTGACAAAGCAAACCATACCTCAACATACAGACCTGGTCCTGGCTTACCAATATCTATTGTTTGGAAACTTAAGCCAATTTATGATGAATTAAGTGATGACATTCTTTTAAAAAAATGTCTGCATGGCCTTACCCAAAATAACAATGAGTCTTTTAACATGACAATATGGGAGCGTATACCAAAAGGCCATTATGTTTCGCTTACGCATCTTCAATTTGGCACTTTTGATGCAGTTGCCCATTTTAACATTGGTAGACAAGCTAGTGTTTTAGTTTTAGAAAAAATGAATTTAAGACCTGGAAAGTATTTGTTAGAAGGATGTAGGAAAATTAATCAAAAGCGATTATACTTAGCCATATATAAAAACACAGAACGAGCAAAGAAACGCAGACAAGTAATTCGTGGAAAAAAGAAAAGTCGATATGACAAATCTCTTGAAAAAGAGCAAAACCCATATCAAACTGGTGCATTTTAAGAATTAACTTATTTTATTATATATAGATTTGCATATTTAATAACACTATTTTTGAATTTTTTATGTTGGCATTTTTAAAAGCTGTTTTTCTCAGATAAAGGGTTTTTAAAACGCCGGCCAGTATATCTAAATAACTAAAAGCGGTGTTAAGCTAAAATTTTAAGTATAAATTTGTTTGATTGTCTTCTGTGATTTAAGCGCGACAGATTTTTTTAAAAATTGAATCCAGTCCTTAAAAAGGTCAACAAAGTCATAAAATTTGGTCAAATTTTTTACATGTATTTCGGTCGAATATATTAGCCTATTAAAAATTATTATGAAAAATCTGCTTCGCTCATATCACAGAATTACCTTGTTAGAACAAGTATGCAAAAAAGATTTTGTTAAAATTGTGTACATCTTTAGATACGTTGGCCGGGGTCTTTCAATATTTTGGTATTTTTGGCACCTGCTACAGCTACCATTTTGCCCAAAAATTTTTTTTTTTGTTTTTTTTAGTTAATTTTGTTATTTACTTTATGTATATGAAGTTAAATTTATAAAATATTGATATTTACTCAAAAAAAATTTTTCAGGGGTTTTCCACCTTAAGTTAATTATTTAAACATTTAAAGATCTTTAATAATAAAAAAATCATGAAAATAGTTGTCCACCATAAATCCAATATCCGGCCCACTGTGCATCGCCAACTCAGCGCTTGAGTAGCACTACTATACTCAAAAATGTTGGTCAATAACGGACGCTACTTTGGATTAGTCTTAATGACTATTTATGGCTGTTCCTATGCTAAGCCAACAATATCTTCGTATATAACATTGTATAGAAAAATATAGCATGAAAATTCGAAAAAAATAGTAAAATTCTTGTTAGAAGATAACAAAAAGAATTGCATAGCAACTAAAAAAGAAGTACACGCAAAAACATATGAATAAAGTCAAAAAGGTCCAGCAATTATCATCCACGGCAGGAAACACTGTAACACAAGTTTACATCTACGCTAGCCAATTTGACAAAGAAGAGGTGTAAGGATGGTCAAAATAATTATATATTTTGCTTATTTCTTAAATCTTTGCCTGGAAGGCCTTCAACAAGACAGTAGCTGGATGTAACTAAAATTTGCCTAGGATGTAACCTGGATGTAACTAAAATTTGCCTAGGATGAGCATTTTTATTAAGATATAATCTTTAGTTTTTACCATTTCAAGCTCGAGTTAATTTTTTTTAATCTTATTCTATTTTACATTTGTTGTCGCACGGCGGTTATTTTTTTACTGTTTTTCATGATAAATCATATGATTTCCAGATCATATAATTTATCATGGATGGAGGCTATCAAAGAGTTTGTTAGTTGGTTATCTTTTCAATCAAAAAGATGACTCAGAAACCATTATGAGTTTTTAAGATATATTTTTGTCGGTGTTATGCTATTAACAGATTGTAACAAAAAAAATTTCCTCCGTTTTTCGAATTTTTTTGATGTTTCTTATTTAATTTGAGTATGCTGAGTCTGAATATGATATTTTTTTATTTCATTAACCGTTTGATTATAAAACCAAAATTCAATTAAACATATAATTAATATTAATCAAATTGCATGAGATACAACTTTAGTCAATATATAACATTTACTAATCCAAAAATGTTATGTTATATCACATTACATTCATATGATACATAATGTTACATTATGCTCTAATGATACATAATGTTACATTATGCTCTAATGATAGCCGTCTCTCAAAATCTCAAAAATCACTAGAAGTGAACAGTTATTTAAAGTTTATTGTCATCACGTATCAAAAACCAGGTGTAGTCACCCACCATATCATATCAGGATATGCATTGCATGGATATCCTGATGAAAACGTTCTCCATGCTCTTCACTCGCATCACCCAAATTTGGTCTGAAAAATTACGATAATTTAAAATTTATATTTATTTTTCATACGCCAATATTGCATGGACTAATACCTATAGAAGTAATCTAATTTCACTACATCGACAACAGAAACATGCTTCTAGAATGATATTTTATAAAGATAAGCTTACTCATGCAAGTCTATTACTTAAACAGATGAATGCTTTAAACATTTACCAAATCAACATTTATCAAAATATATTGTTTATATTCAAACATATAATGGGAATCGTCCCAAATCGATTCAAAAACAACTTTTTTAATATTGATATAAATAAATTTAGTACTAGAGCAACTGGAAACTATATTGTGCTTATGAAAAAACGAAAACTCTCTCAATTTTCTGCAGCTTATCGTGGTCCTTACTTATATAACAAATTAATTCCAAAAAATTCACCAGTATTTTTTGTAGAAAATATCAATTTCCTAAAAACCAAATTAAAAAAACTCATTCTAGAAATAAATAATTACATGAAAAAAGAAAAAAAAGAAAAAAAAAAAAAAAAAAAAAAAGAAAAAAAAACATGGAAATATTCTAATTTATTATGAATAATTAGAAAAATAATAATGTAAAAAAAATAAAAATAAAATAGAAAAAACTTAAAAAAAAAAGTAAACTTAACTTGTTAATAGTATTCAAAACAATAATATAGTATTTCATGAAATTAATAATAAGGGTTCTCGATGACAAGACTTACACAGTTTTCTGCGAGTTTCCACCTGACTACAAAATTTAAGCTAACTTATTTTTATCCCGTTTCTTTTTCACAATACAGTTAGTATTATTACTTTAACTTCCTTACCTCAAAGATATATCAAGTATTTTGATGTCTCTAGTTATATAAGAAGTATTTTTTTTGAATGTATTTGTTGTAATATATTATGTATTGTAAAAACTTGTAAATACTATGTAGTCTTAAAAATATATGAATAAAAAAATAAATAAATAAAAAAATTCCAAGTGTGAATGCAGGTAATGCAGCTTTATTGACACTTTGTATTTCATATCTGCGTACCGTACAATTAAGTTTTCCATACAATTATGCTCTTTGTAGTTATCACTCTTATTGTTGCATAAAAAACTATAAACAACATGTCGCAATTCTTTTTCAATAGCAGACATTTTATCCTTCAGCTTACATGCCAAAATTATTTTAATCAGCGGACCAACGATTACACATGCTGAAATTTTTGCATCTGGCACCATTGAAAACAACTGCCGAATATGCTGTAACGCTGCACTAGCTGGTGCAGCGTTCTAGCATATTCGGCAGATGTTTCCAAATTAAATTGAACGATAATGTTGTGACCCTAAAAGAAATGAAAAAAGATATTCAACTAAGCATTAAAGCTGGCTTATCTGATTTAGAAGAGATTAAAAATGAGTTAAACACATTAATACAATCTAATACGAAAAAAACTGATTCGCCAATAGTAATATGCAAAATTTAAATGGTCAAATAGTTCTTCAACTGACTTTAAGACTATTGATAAACATGTTCAAAAAAATATAAGACAAAATGAGTCATTATAAAAAATTCATTAGAATAATTGAGAAATAATTACAAAAAAGTATGGAGTTTTTTTTTTTACAATTTTAACCTATAAAAAAATTTACAGTCGTAAATTAAAAAAAAATAATTACATTATTCAATAAGGTAGTGATAAGTAAGGTGGTATTTATGGTGTATGGGATCTTTGAGTAGTAGTACTCTGCATAACGTAGTCACGTCATTATTATCAGTCAAAAAGTCTCTTTCATTATTTCAACATAAATAAATAATTAAAAAAATATTTGTTGTTATCACCTTTAAATACAGTTATTTTATCTCATGTTTGTATTAAGCTTATGAATATAATGTAATAAAATTGTTTTAATTTATATATATATATATATATGGGTTTTTTTTTTTTTTTTTATTCATATAGCACTTAACAAACAAAATAATTATAGTTGAGTTTTCCCTTAACAAAGTGCAACCCAACTCTCAATCCCAGACCTTCATGTTTAACCCATTCCATATATTTAATTTTCGTTATTATTATTAATTTTCGAATATTATTAAAAGATATGACTTTTAATAATATTCCTTTAAAACCTTTTGGCAAAAAAAAGATCCAAAAAAATTGCGTGGTAATTTGCATGGTACTATTTTTTGTAAAATCAAGACCTGAATTAGTTAAATTTATTTAAACCGTTTATACTTATTTTTTTATAATAACTTACGATAGATAAATAATTTAATATGTTTATTATATTAAACAATTTTTTTTTAATATATTATAGCAAAATTTGTTAGAATTTATCACTATTAGAAACAAAGTTGATATTCAAGCACTTATTATAATCGGTTCAGGATTTTATAAAAAAACGTAAAACCTGGATTTGCTCACTGGAATTTAGTTTAAAACCTAGTAAAACTTAGCATGTGTGAGAAAAGTTATCAAAAATTAACCCTCGTGTCGTTGTAAATAAATTACTTTCACAAACACAAACGAGGTTTCTGAAAGAAGATCAAACTGACTTTATCATTAAAACCTTTTACAAGCGTGTGTATATGAACTACATCAAAACATAATCAACAAAATAAAACGTAATTAACAATAAAAATTATAAAGAAAATATAAAATTAAAATTATAAAAACCTGACTACATCATCCATTAAGATATTTAAATTTTTTAGTTGGTGTTTGAAAATATGAAAATTAAAATGCATATTGAAATTGGACAAAACAATTTTATTCCAAAGATAGGGTGCCCGATATGCAATAAAAAACTGAATAAAGTTGGTTCGACGAAAGGGCATATATATATAATTATTATTTCTAAGTGTATTTTTATTTATTGGTTTCAAACAAAAGAGATCTTTTAAAACGGGTAAAGATATGTCATTTTTCTACATATACATAGTACAAAAGTACAAAACAATAAAAACATAAGGCTCATAAATACTGAGAACTTCCATTTCAATAAAAAATGGTTTGGAATGAGTGTATCGGTCCACAAAACTTATTAAACGAATTGCATGTTTTTGACGGCGATAGAGACAGTTCAACTTTTTTTTAGTGCTTCGCCGTGCAACATTAGCATAATTTAAATAACTATGAATTAGTGAGTAATAAAGTTGAGTTAAAATTTTTTTTATATAAATATGTTCTGGTTTTATATAAAACTATTAAAAATTTGTTGAGAAATTTTTGTACCAATATAGTCGATATGCGTTTTCCATGTAATGTTTACATCAAGAGAACACCTAAGAACTTTGTTATATTATGTATTTTATTTTAACACCATCAATAAAAATATTAGACAAACTTCAGTGTAAATAAGTTTTTTTTTGAGACTAGGTGGAAAAGAATCCAATTTGTTTTTTTAATGTTAAGAGTTAGTTTGTGAAATTTAAACCATTTGTATATACTATTAATTTCATCGTTCATAGTATAGAAAATTTGCTCCATTATTAAGTTTTAAATATGTTCGTTGTCCCAAAAAGAATTTTAAACGCTACTCCGTCAAGATGAACATTGAAAAAACGAAAATGGTTTAATGACCGCAGAGAGTTTTTTAAAGTATTTTATATTAAGTATAGTGTAATATAGTAAATTAAAAATCACCCACAAAAAGCAGACTATGATAAGCGTGTACGTGTGGAAACAACCCTATCTAAGTTTTTATAAACGTAAATCCTGAAGTGTGAAGATTTTTTGACACAGTTTTTGATAAACTACAGTTCACTTTTGATATCCCAAATACCGCAAAATGGGGAGAGTAGCCTTAGCCAAAAAACCCTATAGGACCTATAGGATTTTGAAAAAAACAAAACAAAAAAAAAACATGATAACTATAAGCACTTTTTAACTTATGTGTTTTAATTTAATGGGGTTCAAATCTAAAATTTTCTAGTTCCAAATCTCTTAGGATCTTATAGGACTTTTTTGCTTTTTTTTGTAAACAAAAGCAAGCGAGCCGGTTAATTTTGAAAATATATTAGTTAACATTATAAGTATTTTTCGTTATTTCTCACAGTTTTATCAAAATATTTAAGCAACAATTTGGTTTCAATATTTCAACATTCACTGATTTATCAGCTGTACCTGAAGAAGAATGATGAAAAGAATGTTTTTTTTTTTTAAATTGAATAAATATCATTTCTTTTAAATAGTTCTTTTAATTAGTTCAATTAAAGTTATGTTTTTTATGTTTTTATTCAGGATATAGTTTCACAAACGTGGTTCTCGACATGTAATTGAGAAGTCTGACTTTTTAAGGGATGTTATAGGGATAAGGAAATTGGCAATGGAATGTCTTGTAGAGTATTAGTGATTAATTAAGGTGAAATGAAGTTGTTCTCGTAAGAAAGTTATCAGTGCTACTAATTTATTTAACAATACTGGTTCATTAGGCAACAAAAAAAGCAAATTTCGCGAACGATACATATTTATATTCTCATACATAAAAACATACATATTTATATTCTCAGTCAATGGTACCCAAAAGAATGTCCCTATTTACAGTACTTAAGATCTTGAAATTTTATCCAAGTTGCTTGGACAAAACGTACTTGTTTGTGATAAAATCTTTTCGGTTCATGAGCAGTTACATTGAACTTTTCTACATTTTTTTAAAAAGTTTTAATAAAAATTTTTAATAAGTATTATTGTCAATTTAAAATGTGAAGTTCTGAGAAGTTATTTTTTATAAGATTATTTGATTGTTTTTAATAAAACTTTTTATCAAACGCAAAAACATGCCACAAAAAAAAATATAAACAAATCTATCGAAGAAAAATGCAAGGCATTAAAAGACCAGAAGAAAGGCATGTCTAACAAAGAGATCGTCTAAAAGTACGGTGCCCCAAAAAATACAATATCAACCTGGTTAAAAATAAAAAACAAATTATTGATCTCGCCGGAAAAATATGGAACGAAATCTAAACGGAATTTCTATATTCGCTTGGTTCATCGCATAAAGAAGTCAACGAGTACCAATCCAATAGCATCATACTGAAAAAAAAGGCACTAAAATTCGTGGAGTTATTGGGAGAGTTAGAGTTAAAAGCATTTGATTACACCAGGCTTAAGTGCCTCCGTGACCACTTCATGGAATGAAACTATATTATATTTCTAATAAATAACTCTTTTGCAAGTCATTCTTATTTGACATAATTATCAACATACTAGAAATGCTTTATACCTCACTTATACCTTACGTTACTTAGTTATTTTGAATAACAAGATTATTGAAATTATTTTGAAGAAAAGTTTTTCTAAAACCCAGTTTCTCCTCAACCTCCCCCAATGTTGTTTTTTGCAATTTAATAGTAAAAAAAAAGTTTAATATTTAACATCTAATTATATATATTAAAAAAACAACACCAGATTTTAAAAGATATTTAAATAAGATATATATATATATATATATATATATATATATATATATATATATATATATATATATATATATATATATATATATATATATATATATATATATATATATATATATAGTGACTTAATTGCAATAGAAAATTCGCATAGCTGTTTCAAAATTGAAAAAACTTCCATATTTCTATGAATGTGGACGTTTAGGCAGTTTAACTTGAATATGCAGGTGGAGGAGCAATCTTAACCACGTCTTCATAGGATGGGAGATTAGTCTAAAAAATATAATAAAATAAGTGATATTATGTCTATCCAAAAATTTTGAAAACATAAATTAAGTTCATGTTTCAGCGTAAAGTTAAATTACCACAGTATCCATATTTCCATGGTAAAGCATCTGTGGCAGCTGCACTAAAGATTGCCTTTCTTCAAAGCTCTTACAATATTTGTAACAAGACCATACAACAGTCATCATAAAATACTATTGAAAAATACAACGGTCACTATAAAATACTTGCCATAAAAACTTAAAAAACAAAACAGTCCTCATAAATACAAGTATATACTTACGTGTCAAATACTGGAATTTATTTCAATAAAATTTATGAATAGAATTTTACACCATCATTAGTACATTTGAAAACCGTTCTTAACATAAAACTTTATGACTCTACCGGTTTGCAAATTATGATTACTTAAAATTGGTTAATATATTTTAATTATAAATGCTATGGTTTTAATTGGACACCCTATTTTAAATAAGAGTACCCTAGTACAAGAACTTGTACCCTAGCCATTTAAAATGTTAAATTTTTTTTTTAATGGATAATATATTACTTGGTCACCAACAATATTGTATCAAAGTTTTTATTTAATTATATTATTCCTTTAAAATAAACTTTAAAATAAACTTTTGTAACATCAATTTTTTTTTTTTAATTTTATCAATTTTTAAAATATCGGTTTATAGGCTAACCTATTTTACTAACAGCTAATTTAATAAACCCAATTTTAAACTTGTTTTTAAGAATTAGCAAGTTAAAATTTCTATAAGTTCAAAATATCTTGTGCTATTCAAAACTTCTAAAAAAGCTAATGATAGTGCAAAAACAAGCAAAACCTGTATTATTTTTGAAATAAAAAATTATTTCGTGTCTATACAATAAAAATAAATCACTAGTATATACTAGAGTTAATACCTTAGCAGTTAACATGACGAGCCAAAAAAGAACCAAAAAATAGCGGAACTTCTCGACACTCATGTGTGAAATGCAATCAGCACTCATATAAACTTCAGGCTTAAAAAATTAAAAAAATTAAAAAAAAAAATTAATCAATAAAACAATTTATAACTACTTTTAAATAAGTTTAATTAAAGATTAAATTGGATATGCCTACACATTAAAGTTATACACTTAAATTTTAATTAAAAAGTTTTTAAAGTTATCATATATGATAACTAAATTTAAGCAATCCGTTTGTAAATGACTTCAATTGAAAGTACTGTTAGTTAAACTATAAATAGTATATTAAGTAATATATTAAACAAAATAAATTATTTTTTTATTTTAAAATACAAAATGTTGATTAAACTGTATATGTACTTTAATAAGTATTTTAAAATTTAATATGTAATTAAACTTTATAACATAAACTTTAATATGTATTTTAAAGAGTGTTTAATAATTCTATTTATTTCTGCATTTGTAAAGGATTACTTATTTAAAAGCACTTTCTATAAAAATAATCTTTTTCTTAAACAAAAAATTATTATCATTTAAATAAACTATTTTTGACATTTATTTTTTAAATATTATTTCTTCTAAAAATTCTAAAATTATGATTTTTAATGTATTTCAGCGTTTCCACTGATAATTGAAAAATGACAAGTAATGTTGGCTTACAATTTGTAATACAAAATGTAATACAAAATGTAGTACATAACTTCAAAAAAAAAAGTCTACAGGTGTAAACAGAGTTGTTAGTCCTTGGCCTTGCCTTAAGGCCAAAAATTTTGGCCTTGGTCTTCAAAAAAAATACATAAAATTAAAGAATTAAAAGTTTTCATTCTTTTTTTTCATGTATTGTTTTCGACTTTCATATATATCTACAGGTATGTTTTCTTATTGACTTCATAGAACTTTGTGCATAACCTGGATTTACATGTAGTTTGTCACAGCAATTGTTACCTACAGTTTTGTTAATAATTGGCCTTAACGTTAGACAAAAACTTAAGTCATTAGTCTTAAAAACGTTTGCGTAGGCTTTGGCCTTGAAAAAAACTAAAAACTTAAAGACTGCAAGCATTTCGAGATATTGCAACTTAATTCAAGCTTTGGACAAAGGTACATAAAAGTTTCAACAAAACTATTCCTTAGAATGTGTTAATAGAAATTAACTTAGCCAATAAGCTCTAGAACATATGGAATATATATGAGACTGGAAGACAATAAGATTTTCATCCTAGGAAAATAAATCATTTAAACAGAAAACAATAACTGTTTTAGCTTCTGTGAATGTCACAGAAAAACTCTCTTTTACTTTGTTTTACGGTTAAAGGAAAAAAAATTGATTTCTTTTCAGCTATCAAATAAAAAATGCCTCAAAAAGAAGCACATGAACTGTTTTTGACAATGGAATTGGAAAACAAAGCAAAACTTTACATGACTCTGCTTTAAGTAATCATTTTTACCAAAATTTGGTTCTGACAGACCTCAATTACTTATTTGACTCACAATATTTTGTATAGTTATTTGATGCAGCTATAGCAAACAATATATATATATATATATATATATATATATATATATATATATATATATATATATATATATATATATATATATATATATATATATATATATATATATATATATATATATATATATATATATATATATATATATATATATATATATATATATATATAGCGTTGAATTACCAGCTTACACTTTCAACTGGCTTTAGCAATATGATTGAAGAAAATTTGGGTACTCAAAAAGTTACAGAAAAACATTTTGATGATTTAACTTATTCCACACAAATAATTAAAAGTTGCATCAAAACAAAATTACTTTTTGCTTACATTAAATAAAAGTTTTTAAGAACTAAAGTTGGATGTTCTAAAAAATAATAATAAAAGAAAAAAAAAATTAATTTGAAAAAAAAAGAAAATTACAGTACATTATTTTAAATTGCAGTAAAATATAAATCAAGTTAGGGCTAGGAGTGTTCCATTTGGTTTTCCTTCCAAGAAAGTTGAATTTTTAAAAATAATCCATGTTTTTACAGCGAAAAATAAATTGTTTCACTTATACAATTTATGTGACATAAAAAAAAGTTAAGTTTCAATGCGATTCTAACTTTTCGGGAATTGGAAATAAATTGAATTCAATCTATTTCCAATTTCCAGAAAGTGAAAAGTATTTTAAAATAAATCACTTTCTTAAAGTTTTTACACGATAATAAAATTATATTACTATTAATTAAATTCTACCTTACTTTTTTTAAATTTAATTTACAACAGAAAAATCTGTGAAGCTGAGAAAGCAACCAATCCCTATGGTAGATCTAGTATAGAGGATTACCAAACAAAAATAAAAAAGAAATAAAAATATTGGCACATTGAGTCATTTTTGAATAACATTCCCAAAACTTCCCTAGACTTTCCAATCACTTTCCATTGGAAAATCATTAATTCAATTCTTATCTATTTTATCAATTTCCGAGCTTATTAAAACATGTCCCATTTTTAAAAAAAAAAAAATTTTCACTTATATATTTAAATAGAATTTAATTATCTATTTGATTTTAAAGAGTTCTTATTATAAGGCCTAAAATTATAAAATAAACAAAAGCTGGTATTTTGAAAACACAAGCATTTTTTTTTTTACAATTTTTTCTTTTTAAATTGAATTTAAAGTAAATATACTTCAGACACTAAACAAACTGCGATCTTACTATAATTTATTAGAGTAATAGAATAAAATGGTGAAACCTCAGTTAAACCAAAGTCATAGGGATAACTTCTATTAACTAAGGGATAACTTCTATTAACTAAGAGATAACTTCTAAGGGATAACTTCTATTAACTAAGGGATAACTTCTATTAACTAAGAGATAACTTCTAAGGGATAACTTCTATTAACTAAGGGATAACTTTTATAAACTAAAAGATAACTTCTAAGGGGTAATTTCTATTAACTAAGGGATAACTTCTATTAACTAAAGGATAACTTCTAAGGGATAACTTCTATTGACTATGCTTCAATTTTTTTTTGCATTTACTTTGATCATGTGTTTATGATATTTTTTAACATTAACTATTTTGTCAAAAAATTTAAATTTCCCGACCAGAGATAAGTTCTTATTAAATCTTATTAAATAAAGAAAATTAAAAAAAAAAGATTATTTAATTTTTTTTTTGACTTTTCAATGAGAAGTGATTGGAAAGTGTAGGGAAGTAAGGTCAAATTTAATTAATAGCAATACAATAAATTTAACATCACGTAAAACTCTAAAGAAATTGATTTATTTTTTATAATTTATCACTTTCCGGAAATTGGAAATAGATTGAACTCAATCTACTTCCATAATAGATTGAATTCAATCTATTTCCACTTCGTGGAAAGTTAGAAATTTTCATTTTATTTTCCAGAGGAGGAAACAACTTCCGAAACTGGTTAGGAAGCGAAATTGAACACCCTTAGTTATATCTAAGGAATTTAAACCTATAAATTACTCTGAGTAACAAAAAATAAAGAAAATTTACATGATTTTCAATAAAGTATTTCACTTGTGGAGCATAACTAATCATTGTTGCAGCAACCATGAGAGTGACAGTAGCATCAAAAACTTGCAAACAAAAAAAAGGTAGAATATAGTTTGATTTTCGCTAAAATAAAGAAAAAAAAAACATTAAATGATTTTGAAGTAATTATAAACTTGAATGTTAAACAATATTATTTTGAAAGATTATCACATTACATTAATAATTTGTATTTGTTTAATAATATTACTAATGTTCATAGTATCTAACGAAATAAAAATAAACTATGGCTACAATGTTTCAAACCTGTTTGCTTCAAGCTTATATTAATTATATAATTTAATCCTGATAAAAAATATATGATTTGATTTAAAAATAATTTAATAAAAATATATAACTTAATTTTGATTTTTCAATCATGTATTTATATTTACATAGATAATAAAATTAAAAATACTAAATACAATAAATACATAGGTAATAAAATTGCTTGCGTTTAACTATCACTTTTATTTAAAAATATTGCTAAATATTGTTTAATATTAAAACTCTAAAATTAAAAAAAAAATATTAGTTTATTTTTTATACTAAATATTTTTTCGGTTTTCCTTCTTAAACATTTTTTTTTTCACTAAAAATTAAACTTCTTGTAAACATGTCTTGAGGCTGCATCAAAAATTTGCATAAAACTTTTTTTCATAAGGCAAGTGAAAGCAAAACATTTTTTAGTACATGGAAACCTAAAATTGCACAAAGAAGTTCAAAAGAGACCCGAGACCCTGCTGGAAGAGATAGAGACAAGAATTCATATCAGCTGAGAAAATGAAGTTTAAATATCTACCGAATGCTTATAAATAAAATTTAATTAATTATAAAGTAGACTCTAAAAACAAAATTTTTATATAAAGATGCCAAAAGTTAATTTAAGACATGGGTGCAAAAGTAATGTAACTCCATTTTCCTAAACTATTCAGGAGAAAGAACATAATTTTTTTTATTTTGTTAACTTCTTTTGAAGATTTCAACAACTTTTCAAAAAAGTTTTGACAACATAGAGGTGTAATGGGTGGTCATTCAATATAACAACATAGGAGGGTAAAGTAGATTTTACGAAAACCCAGAAACTTTTAATCCCGGGATTGTCAAATACAATCCAGAATTATTTTATGCATTAAAATCTAAAATAAAACTAATAACTTGATTTGGTATATCATTATTTTCTGCTATGATATCTCCTCCATTTGACAAATCTTCAACATTGTCTAAGGACTTTCTGAGATGAGCCAAATTTGGGACTTGATTTAATTTATTTAGAAGGTCTAACATTTTTTAATTGCTAATACCTTTTTACCCTCTAAATTTATAACCAATAATTATTAAATTTAAAATGAGTAATTTAGGCTTGCATATTGCCTACTTTTACATAGCTATGAAAGAATAGGAAAATCGCGACCCCGCAGGAGCAGGAGTGATTCTGGGAATAAATTGAGGGGGGGGGGTTGGAATAGGGAGATTAAAAAGTACCAACTGCTTTCTAAAAAAAAAAGTCCTTAAAACTCAAAATCATCTAACTAAAATGTGTCAAATGCTATACTAGTCGACTATATTCCTCAAAAAACTGACTATAACTTAAAAATCACTTTCTTTAGAAAAAAGGCGATTTTCAAGTTATAGTCGGTTGTATGAATGAATTCATAATTCGGTTGTAAGAATGACATACCCTCTTGTTTATTCATCTAGCCATCAAGGATTTTAAACTAATCAGGTATCTGCATATTGCCTTATTTCAGTTTTAAGTTACATTCATTTTTATTAGCTTCAACATTTACTGATTTTTTTTATTGGTAGAACATTTAATTTCAGTTAATACACAAGCCAGTAGCTTTATTTTTTTACCACAACTTTACTCCCCTTAACTTCAGATTCAGTTTTTTTAACTCTTAAACTTTCATCTTTGAAACCATATTGTACTCCATGACTAATTTAAATAAATAGTAAATATTTGTTTTAGCAGTATTAGTTAGATGTTCATACTTTGTTTTCTCAAGTAAATATTGTATATTATGATTAACGGAAGTCCCTTTTTACCCCTCCAGAGTCTAGATATCTTATAAAATGAATTTCAAATTCGCTCAATTGGTGTATTTAATTATTAAATACTTAAAAAATTGAAAGAAAATAAACATTCCATACTCAGTTAAGTAGTTAAGGAGAGATCCAAAGCATTTAGGCCCTTTCATTTTCAAAAAATGCCGTTTTATTTTGTGTGTGTTTTAATTGGGTTTTTTTTCTTCTTTAAATCATAAAGCATGTTATTTTATTTTGTTTACAAATATTCGGTGATTTTATTATCTATGAGTTTCAAGTTTTAGCCTAATACTATATGGCAGAAGTATATATGTTAAAGCTGAAATATTTCTGTTTAGTAATTTATTCAAACAACTGCTATGAGAGAAAACTAATGTGAAAACATTGATTTTAACATTTTTACTGTTTATAGAAAGATAAAATAAGAGGTTTTTAGTCATTTATTAAATATTTTATTGCTGTTACAGCAATAAAATATTTCATAAATAAAAACCTAAAGACTAAAAACCTCTTATTTCATCTTTCTATAAACAGAAAAAAGGAGACTTTTTACTTTCGAATAAAAGAGACATTTTTGGAATTTAAATACTTAACACATTTGTTTCAGTTGTTTTTATGACGCTGATCTGTCGTGTTTTTTGTATTTTAGTGATAGTTTTGTTTTGCTTGATGCTTTAGTTAAAAAAAGATTTATAACTTTCAACTTTTCTTAAATGCTTTTTTAAATGTAAGCAAGAAGTAATTTTGTTTTGGTGCAACTTTTAAATTATTTGTGTGGAATAAGTTAAATCATCAGAATATTTTTCTGTAAGTTTTTGAGTGCCAAAATATTATTCAATCAAATTGCTTAAGAAAAACTTAAATTCTACTTTTTAAAAATATATAACAGTAATAGTCGAAAATAAGCAGAAAACAAAAAATTGAAGTTTAAAAATGTAAATTTTTGTTTTTAAGAAATGCAAAACATTTGGATATCTCCTTAACTACGCTGAGTAATAGCATTTCTACATTATTTTTGTTGATTGAGTTAATTTTTCATTTGAACTCATTTTGCAGTAATTTATTTTACTATGGTAGTTTAAAAAGTTGTCATTAAAAAATAAAGAGAATTATATGATGTCGAACTCACATTAAGCTAAAGTGTTAAGCATTTTTTTATTTAAAACAAGGCCTACACAAAAGAGAGCATCCACAAAAAAAGCAGCTTTTACAAGAAAAATACTTTTTTTTGCAGCTTGTATGTATTGGTAGGAGGGGAGGGGGTCCATAATCATATTTTTTTAGATTTTTTATAGTTTAACCAATTTTTCTTAATTAGTTTTTCATGCTGATTCTGAAAATCATAATCATTTTTATTTTATCCTAATTATTTAGCCTTTTACTTCGATTTTATTAAAAGTGATTATTTTGTCAAAAAAAGGCTTTGTTAAAAATAGATGTAATTATTATTATTATTAAATATAAGAAAAGTAGAAAAGTAGAAATCTTTTTCTGTTTAATTTATCAATAATATAAATAATTATTGATGTTTATAAGTAACAAAAAAAATTAAGCATTATATATCAAAACAATTCATACAGTTTGCAATTTTTACTATTGAAAATGGAAAATGCATTTAGGTTATGAGCGTGTTTTTTTTGGTAGACATAAGATGGAGGTTTGTATTTTTCATCAACAATCATGTATTTAAACAAAGTAGACCTCTGTGACAATGACCTACTTGTATCCCCAAAATAAAAAACCTCATTCTTCGATCTTTTTTTTCAATTTAAAATATCTTTATCTACTTCAATAAAGTCTAGTTCTCAGTTAAATGAGCGCCTTCGAACTAAAATAGAACTCCTCTTGCATACCTAATACAAACTTTGCTCTTCCATTGTTATCCATTTGTTTTTGAGGCTGATTTTAACTATATTCCATAGTTTCAACTATTTGGACAAATAATCAGACAATAATTTTCCAAAATATTTTTAAACTACGCCAATCTTCATTTTTTATATGGTTTAAATAATTAAGTATACACCCACTGTTGAAATTAAGGGTTTTTTCCAAAGCTGGTTGCAATGAGTGGTACACCTACGCTAAAATTTAATGTTAATTGTAATTACTTCATCAACTTCAACAACTATTAGAAAGTTAATACTCATCATATTCCATCATCAACCAAACACATAATACTTTCCTCATTTTTGAAGGACTGAGGCTAACTTTTGCCAAAATACTCCAGTAAGAATGATACAATCATTCAACCTCTTTGAGGTATATTTAGTAACTGCTTCTAGAATTTTTTTTAATTAGCAATCTATGGCGTTTTAAAGTAGAAAATTTCAATATTTGATCACTGAGTTTGTTTTTTATAAAGCCTTTTAGGTAGTGGTATTCCTTTAGGCTAACTATTTATCTTTAGAGTTGTTAAACCTTTAGAATTTAACTGAACTTCTACTGACTGGCACTTCAAAAGAGGATTTATTTTTGACTTAAACACTATAACATTTGCCTTGGTTCTTCCTGTAAATTCCAATTCTAATATAATTCTAATAATATCCAATTCTATATTCTAAATGGTTGTTTTTATGGGAATCTTTCTTAAAAAGAAAGTTTCCCAGTAGTTGATAAATGTTATCATAAGATTTTATTTTCGAACATATTATTTTTATACTTCGTATAAAGATAAGCAAGCTCGTTAAAGGAGCTTGCTTATCTTTATACAAAGTTATTGTAATTAGTTACAGTTTATTAATGCCCCATGGACATTGCTGCCCAGGACAGACACTCCTTTCTCCTTCTCGTTGCGCTTGATTAGATTAAGCTTCATGATTTTTTTCTTTTATACAAATATTTTTAGGGATTATAAATACTCTCATTGAAATCTTGAATAGCCTTCTTGAAAGCTTGAATAACAATTAAAAAAAAAAAAGAAAAAAAAAAAAGGAAAATAAGATATTTCAAAGCAATCTGACTTTTTGATTACTTAAAACGTTTTGTTTAGAAAAAGACTTCAGATAAAACTTTTTTTTGAAGCAATTTGTCGTTTTGATTACTTAAAACATTTTGTTTAGAAAGAGACTCCAGATAAAACTATTTTTTTATAAAACGCAACAATTAAAAATCAAATTCATCCAATCAAAATGTGAATAGCATAAATTTGAAAGAAAAGTTGCATAACTTTATACGCAAAGAAACTTTTGCAAAGACTTTTATTTTTTATATCTTTTAATTTTTAAAATAGAAGTAGAAGGTCAATCATATAAAATCAGCAAAAACTGAATTGTTTTTTGAACTTTTTTAAAAAAATTAATTAAGAATAACCGGTTAAACAAGAGATATAGAAATTTGGACCCCCCTTCCCCTGGTATTGGTATATCAAATCTTACAATAAGAAGATCAAAGATTCTAACCCTGGGTTTTTTTTTACTCTTATATTATTATTTGGGTTAAAAATCTGTTTTTTTTTTTGTTAACTTGTTTCATTAATTTCAATAATTTCAACTATAATAATTTCATTAATTTCAATAATTAAATGTTGACACATAATTTTGCCTAGTAATATATCAAAAGTTTATATAAATCACAGGGTCAAATAAATAAGCATAGATCAATTATAAAAATTAGCGCAAATACTCATAAAGTTATGCATAGGAATAAATATTTAATGCGTATATTGTTGCATTGAAACTAAAGTGACCTAAATCCATTAAAAAAAAAAGTTATTGAGCAGCATTATGTACAAAATGCACAAAAATCTACAAGAAAATCCAAATATATTTATGATGAACAGCTTGCACCACAATCGGTGCACAGAAAATGATCATTGAAAACTAAAATGCATATAAAAAATGCAAAGGACATCTGTAATAAATGCAAAAGATTCAACAAACACAGCAGAAAAAAACAGAAGCAATCAATTACCTAAAAAGGGGATGTAAAAGCAAGTTTTTGCCAATGTGGGCAAGAAAAAAAAAATTAAATTACCTCAATGAGTTTTATTCAAGAAACCAATAGAGAAATAATAATAAAAAAAATAAATAATTGGTCCCTTACTTGTAAGTGAACATATAAAACAAAAATGATACTGCTAGGTCATTCCATATCAAATCACCTAATGGTCCTCAGAGTACAACTTCAAATTTAGTTCAAATTTCAACCACCTACAGTATTTATGAAAAAAATACAAACCTCAAAATTTCAGCTTATTGATTAAACCATTTAAAAGTTATGATTTATTTAAAATTGACCAAAATCAGAAAAATTTAAAAACCTGGAGCTTACAGTAAGTTTTTTGATTTTTGGCAAAGCATAACTTAGTAAATAAAAAAGTGATCACCTGAAATTTTGCATGTTAATAGTTTTCAACCTAAATAATACAATTTTGTAGATGTTTTTAACTGACTTAGAGAAATTGATGAGTTATTGTACACTTAAGTTGCTATAAAATGCAATAATAGGAAAATTACTTGCAATGGCTGGAGCATTTATTTAGCATATTACTTTGAAAAGTGGAACCTAACACTGACTTGATCGTGCAACATTAGTCCATTTTAAATTTAATTTGTTTTTATGCATGAATTTTACATTAACATCTTGGTTTTCATTACAAATATCAAGCACAAGCCCTATGTACCATTCATCATTGTGAAAATTTAAAGGATCTTTTTTTGCAGAGTTAATATTATTCAGCAAATGGGTATCATAGACAATATCATTAGGCATTCTCCATAAAAATAATTTCTCTCCACTTGGTACAAAACTGCGATAGCTTCTTGTGTGTGGGACTGTGCTCATCTCTTCTTATCATACTTTTAGGTTAAAATAACTTTTATGGTTATTGATATCATCACTTGAAATGTAAAATATGTTAACACCTTTAATGTTTTTTCAGTCCATGTAAACGGTTCGTTTGGTGTGAGAATCTGGTTTGCATTTGCTGCTTGTAGACTCACTTTTGCTGATTCTCTTTTTATAGTTCTTCCTATTCCATCACACGGACTTTTGCCATGGGATGTAGCAAAGAAGTGATGCTCAGCATTTATATTGTGATCTTAAAGATGGTCAAACATTAAGTTTAACAAATATGTGTAATTTTTGTACTGTGACGCAGCACCATCACTGAAGTATTTTACTTTATTGATTGTGGGTAGTTTGATTTTGAGGGAGTAACTTTGTGAGAAAATAATGATAGTCAGAACAACTAAAATCTTCTTCAGCAGCTTCATCTTGACTAACATCTGTAATTTTTTCAAGTTTAAATTCATTCATACAGCTAGCACAAATTTATTGACCAGTTTGATTTTAAGTTGATTTGCTATTGATATGTTGACTTTACACAATTCTTGATAATTTTTTTCTTGTGGACTTTAAACTGATCACAAATATTTCCAGTAATAAAATTAGTAAAATGAAATCTCAAATACATGTGTTTCAAAACTGTCAAAAATGCAACCAATAAACTACAATTTCTACAAATAACTATTTCTGCATACACAAAACTTTTTAGTTTTTGCAATATTAAAAAATAAAATAATAAAATCCAGAAAATACTGGGCAGATTTAGATTTTTATACTAACTCTTGAAGCAATTGAAATATTTTACACTCAATTTATAACCATGAGTAAATCATTATAATTACATTATATGCATAAAATTAAACAAATACATAATATAAAATCATATCAAATAAATTAAATTAAGGCATTAATAATGTTATTTTAGGGAAAACTGGTTATATTTATTCAGGGAAAAATTAATAATATACACTGAAGTCATAGGGCTACAATCATGTCATAAGATAGAGTATAGGTCTTTGAATTTTTTTTGGTGATTGTCTATATATAGAACCTTGGCGGAAAAAATTTCATAATTTATTTATGCTACTTTCTATGCCTACAAAGTGAATGTAATTTATCATAATTTTTAAAAACTGATATTTTAAGGGGCTGCTGCAAATGTTAAATTAACTTTCAATGCAGAGTTTTGATTTTTACCATAGGTGGTTACCCTAAGTACACATAAGTAACAAAAAATTGGCACAGGTTGTCTGTTGGTATTAAACTGTAGCACAAGTTTTTGAAATTTTTTCTAATATTGCGTTATTTAACAACTTTGAGGTACAAGAACTCAAAAATTGTTTAAAATCAATCAAAAACACCTGCAAAAATAGATTATTTGGATGAAAAACTATTACCGTAAAAAATTTCAGGTGAACATCTATTATATTAAAAAAGTTATGATTTGTTAAAAATCCATCCAAAAATGTAAGCTCCAGATCCAGATTTTAAGAATTTTGTTTTTTTTTCATTAAAACTGTGGGTGGTCAAAATTTTAGGCAAATTTGAAAAACTGTGAAAATATGTGATTTCATATGGAATAACCCTGCTCATTAAGTGATAAAATTTTGCATCTCACAAAATGATTGTGAAAAATAAAAATAAAACACTGTTCAAATTAGAGATGTCATTATAGTTTTGGCATAATAGTTATAATAAAAAAGTTATAAATAAAATTAAAAATGCACCAATAAAATACTTGTGCTTACCTTAATGGCGCCATAAACCAATGCAATAATTATAACAAAGCAAATACTGGTCACACTTAACCCAATGAGTTGATCAACTAAATAAAATTCTATTTTAATCTAAAATATTCAATATTAAAAAAAAAAATTCAATATAGTATTTTCTGTTTAAAAAAATACCTGCATGACTTGTAGATGCCTGTTTGACATTTGAAAAGTACTTCCATTCACCTAACTTTTCCTTATTTTTTAGCATTACAGTAGTTGATGCAATAAATCCTGCAGCATTTACTGCCTAAATACATATTTTCAAAAGTTAAACACTATGGAAAAAAAAAATTAAAAAAAATATATATATATATATATACTTTATACCATACAAAACAATCCAATAAGAACTGTTGCCAATCTCACATCCATGCATAAACAACATCGAGTTGGTTTCATTCTTTCATCAGAAATGCTTTGTATCCGAATATTTTCTTCTGATTTCATTTTTTTATCTAAATCAGAATACATGAAGATATATTAATTGCACGTGTTTCAAAATGTAAGAAAAAACAAACAATTAAAAGCAAAATATTTTTAGACTCATTCTTCAAGTCTAAGTAATTTTAAAGAAACGTATTAGGTAACAAGGGGCTTTACCCCAATGTTTTAATCAACTTTTCTTTTCTCTCTTTGAAATAAGTAAATATCAAATACAAACTGGAAATATTTTTTAGTTATAGACAACACATATTTCTATATGTGCGAAAGCTTTATCCAGCAAAACTAAAAGTCAGTCATAGTAAAAAAAAAGCTAAAAAGTTTTAACTAACGCTGACTCAAAATTTAAAAAATGGGGGAAATAAGCTCCATTATGTAAAACATATATTTTTACATTATTTTTTGACACTTTTCACAGATCTAGTCCACCGCTTCACTATCAGCTCCTTCTGGAACTTCTGTGCAATTTAACACACCCATTCTTCTCTTTGACCTCTATGAATATCACATTTTAGACACAGCGTTATCATCTTCATCACTGTGCCTATTATCTCGGGCTGGAAGATTCTTCTTTTTGTTGTAGTCTTTTTTCTTTGGAGCATTGTCTTTTTTTACTGCTTCTTTTCTTAGCCGCTTTAAACATTTATTACCTGTTAGGCTTATTATCTATCAAAACCTGATGGTTCTAACCAACCTACCATCCCCAGAAGTTTTTCTGGCTAGTTGCATAGATTTTCCTGCCTCATTTCTTATTCTTTTTGTATGCCCGAACCATTCTGCTAAATAAAGGGGGCAATAAGCTCCATTATCAAAACTATATTTAAATAAAAATTTAAACTATTTCTACAAAAAAATTGCTTTTCTTTTCAATTTAAACTATATCTGTGTAACGCTTGTAAAATTAAAACATAAATTTTATTTATCTGATCAATGTTATTTGATTATTTTACTTTTCACTTTTTTAAGCAGTTGGCATTAATTTTAATTAGTTTATTAAAAGTTAATAAACTTAAATATTAACAGTTGGTATTGATTTTAATTAGTTTATTAAAAGTTAATAAACTTAAATATTAACAGTTGGCATTCATTTTAATTAGTTTATTAAAATGCTTTAATTAGATGGGACTTGATGCCCCTGCTAATTAAAACATTTTAACAAACTAATTAATATTCAAGAGAACCATATTTCTCTTAGAAAAGCTATACATTTAAAATCTTAAAAAGAAATTTATTATTAAAGTGAATTTTAGAGCTATTTATAAGTAATTTCTTAGACATTCATCCAACTGCCATTTTACTTTTCTACCTTCTCTACCTTCTACCTTCATTTGCTCTACAAATATCAGTATTTAAACTCATTGATAACATACACAGATAGTTAAAAACTTAAAAATTTCAATATAAAAATAATTTTTCAAGTCAAAAAAAACAAGCACTTGCTTTTTTTAAAGTTTTTGATTAAGTTTGAAGGAAACTGGATGGAAAAACCACTCATCAATTAATTCTAAGTAAATGGTTATGAAAATTTTCCAAATTGGTTAGTTATTCTCTATCATGTAGAACTTAATGCCCCTCCCTCTTAATACAATAACACAAGCCATTTCATCATATGAACAGAGGAAATGGGGCTTAATACCCTGTTGCCTTATAATATTTCATGAAGATTGGATTATACTTGGAGGTTGTACACTTGGATCACTTTTAAAGAATACAAAACTGTCAATGTCTGAGATATTCATTGGAAAAACAAGAAATAAAAAACTCAAAACAATAATAACACTAAATACTAAGATTAACAGGCCATATTGTTAATATTATGTAAAATAATACCATATTAATCAATTTTATAAGATGCAATCTCTTTTTTTGTTTATTTGGTGATGACTTATAATGGTTGACAATGTTAAAATAAATGGTATTTGTTGTTTGTTTGAATTGATTTTGTTGATTTGTTAAACTTTTTTTGCAGAATGACATGCTGAATAAGAGAAATTGGAATTGATGCTGCATCTCAGGAGGGTGTTTATGTAAATGCATTACACTTTACAACTTGGAAAATATGCATGCAATGGATTAAATTTGCTGGAGGTACAGCTAATGACTATCAGAGTCGCATTACACAGCAATTTTCAGAATATATATATATATATATATATATATATATATATATATATATATATATATATATATATATATATATATATACATATATATATATATATATATATATATATATATATATATATATATATATATATATATATATATATATATATATATATATATATATATATATATATATATATATATATATATATATATAAATATATATATATATATATGTATATATATATATATATATTAATTTTTGTTGTTAAGATACTACAATTATTTACAAATATTGATATAAAACAAATAAACTTAAATGAATCTTTCCTATCTTTTAAGATAAATCTACTAATATTAAATAAATATTTACATGCTTACAAGTATAAATATATAAAAAAAAAACTTACAAAAACGCCGCTTCACACAATTCGAACATAAAAAATTTCGATCGAATCGTTCGGGTTATTAATTTGTTTATTTCACGCTCATTTAAAAATAGATACGTATTCACAGTAACTTCACTTTTTAATGATGAAGCTCATTATTTTTTTAGAGAGAATGAGACCACAATTATAAATTTGCATTGCATTTTGGGCATTCCATCCGAATAGAAGACAAGTAAACAAACTTGATAACTCGGCTTATTTTTAAACGAACAGTGTTTTGAATTGAAACTTTGTTTATTGAAAAAACCTCAGTTCAACAACAGATTATTTTGAAAACGAGGTTGTATGTGATAACGAAGCAAGGCTGCACCAAATATTAAAGTAGTTAGATTGAAGTTGAAAGAAAATATCGCCGTATAACAAAATCGCTAATATACTGTAAAAGCAATGTAAAAGTTACGCTATTGTCATTATTGAAGTTGAATTTTAATTATACGTTTTTCTCACAACAGCAACAAACAAAAAAAAAAAACAAAAAAAAAAAAATTAAAAACGACAAAAAATAACTCATGTTGATTTAAAATTTATAATAAAAAGAGGTCTATCTAATAGTTAAATTATTCCACAGCCATTTAACGGCATCTTATTTTAAATTCCCTTTTTAATACAACTCGGTAAATGATGTAATGAGTATGTATATATGTATGTATGTATGTATGTATGTGTGTATGTATGTATGTATGTATGTATGTATGTATGTATGTATGTATGTATGTATGTATGTATGTATGTATGTATGTATGTATGTACATACATAAATAAACATGCATATGTATGTAAGTATATATGTATGTATGTTTATGTATATATGTATGTATGTATGTATGTATGTATGTATGTATGTATGTATGTATGTATGTATGTATGTATGCATGCATGTATGTATGTATGTGAATATGTATGTAGTAATGTAACTTCTTATTTTTGTGTAATGTATGTTTTATATATCTGTCCAGTTTATATATGTATGTATGTATGTATGTATGTATGTATTTATGTTTATGTTGTATGTATGCATGTATAAGACACACACACACACACACAGATATATATATATATATATATATATATATATATATATATATATATATATATATATATATATATATATATATATATATATATATATATATGTATATATATATATATATATATATATATATATATATATATATATATATATATATATATATATATATATATATATATATATATATATATATATATATATATATATGTTAAGCAATTATATTAAATTTTACAATTTCCAAGTTTTATTTTTGAAAAACAATAAGTAGATTATTAATTTTTAATAACATACAACAAAGATATATTATCTGGTGGGTGGAGATCTTAATTTGTAGATTATGTATACATGTGATATGTAATAATATTATATAAAAGTATTAGTCATATACATTATATACATTATATAAATAAATATATATATATATATATATATATATATATATATATATATATATATATATATATATATATATATATATATATATAATTCTCATAAATAATCTCATGTCATAAATAAAATATGATTACTGAAAATCCAACATATGTGAAGACATTTTTTTTTTTTTTTTGTTAAAAAGCAAAAAATAGTATCAAACATTGAACTTGTACTATATTTACATTGTATTGAAAGATATGTTTGTTTAGCAAAGAGTTTAAGAGTTTTAATAAAAAGAATTAATAAGATTAAAAAAAAAAAATAAGAATAAGAGGAAAATAACTTAGCTTGGTTTTATAATTTGCTTATATTAGTTTTTGACTTTTGAAAACAAATATATTATTTAAATTATATTATATAAATTATGTTCAGAAAAACCATATATTATTTTATGAACTTGAAGGTATAATGCCCAAGACTCCAGTGTCCAATGTTGGACCAATAATCAACAATAATAAAGACTTAGGAATCAGTGTTCCTGACTCTCAGACATATAACTCGGATACAAAAAGTAGCAAAAAATTTACTGTAAGTCAATCAATTTATTTTTCAAAGGTATTGTTTAGGTCCTTTTTAATTCTACAGAAAATAAAAAATGTGTATTAAATCTTATTACTTTGCCACTGAATATTTTTTAGGTATACAAAGTTTTAGTTAAAACTCCTGAGAAATCATATTTTATATTTCGTCGCTACAATGAATTTCACACACTCTATGATAAGGTAGTATGCTTCAAATTTAATGATTACAATTTTTGTAGAAGTAATATTTAGATTACAATACAACCTGTTTCTCTATGTAGTGGCCTTGTTTTGTCAAGTTTTTTGTTTGTCAATGATCATGTTTAAAGAGTTACAACAGGATTGTAACAATTAAAAAGAATAAAATATCCTTAGTGATAGTACAATAATGTGTTTAATACAGTAAAATAAAAAAATGTTATTTAAATGAGCTAATAAATTGTACACACAATATGCATGCAGCAAGCAATATTGGTGCACTTATTATTATTATTATTATTATTATTATTATTATTATTATTATTATTATTATTATTATTATTTATCTGTTATAATTATATTACTTTATTATTATTTATCTGTTAATTTTTGTTGATTTTAACTTTAAAATAAATAAAAATAAAATAAATAAGCAGCTAGTTGTTTATTTGAATTAAGTTCTCTTCACCATAAAGACCACATATAATTTCTAAATTATTTTATGTTAAAGTGAGTCTGTAGTAGCAAATAAATCTTTCTATACTAATGAGTGGTAACAATCTCACTGAGTCCACTACTTTACTGGGGGCTATTCTAGGAGAAAAATTTGGGTGGTCGTACCAGAGAAATCGCGTGGAAATGTAGCAGATTATCTGCTTTTTTTTTGTGAAAGAAAACAATATTTGCTGTAAAAAAAAAACGGTCTAGAATAGCCCTTGTTTACATCTTTACCTATTATCTACTACTCACTACTGACTTCTCATGAAAACCATGTATTCAATCAATTGCAAAGTCAGCATCTAATAAGGTTGCCTCTCTTAATTGTGCTTTCTTTTACTTTACTGTTGGTTCCATTTTCTACCTCTAAATCATTTATTTGTTCCAATCTCAAATGTTATTGTCATATTTGTCTGGCTCTTTTAATGATAATTCTAAAATTGTAAAAAAATCATCTGTATCTGTCCCATCATGCTCAAAAACTTTTATTCATGCTCAAAAACTTTTATTGCTTTTTTTTTGTGAAAAAAAACAATATTTGCTGTAAAAAAAAAACGGTCTAGAATAGCCCCTGTTTACATCTTTACCTATTATCTACTACTCACTACTGACTTCTCATGAAAACCATGTATTCAATCAATTGCAAAGTCAGCATCTAATAAGGTTGTTTAAGGTTAAAAAAAAAACTAGTTTTTTTCTTCAAACATCACAGTTATGGAACTATCTACAATTTACTATGGATTCACTCCTAACAAAGTGTGGTCGCTTTGTTAGAAGTGAATTAGTTAAAAAAACAAACAGAGTTGCTGGGTTTATTCGACAGTTGAGAGTGCAGAGCTAATGATAATGGTTTTCTAGATAATAAATAGAATGGTTTTCCAGACTATAAATGAAAGTTGTTTGTTAGTTTTTAATTATCATGGTTTTGCAGACAATACATTTAGTTTGTTTCTGATGGATAGAACTTTGTTGCTATTTAGTTATACTAATATAATTTTTTATTAATATTTTTTCATTTGTTTTGCATTTAGCTTAAAAAGATTTATCCAGAGCTGCATTTAAAGTTGCCTGGGAAAAAATTGTTTGGAAATAACTTTGATCCTGGTTTCTTTTTAGATTTTTATTTTTTAATGAATTTTTTTATCATTTTTTTAAAAATTCATTTCAATTAAAAACATAAAAAAATTTAACTTAGATTTCATTAAGATGAGAAGAGAAGGACTTAATGAGTTTGTTTCCAAAATTTTAAGCATCCAAAACTTGTCAACAAAGTAAGTAATTTTAGAAAGTATCTAGGTAAATGGTAGGTAAGTAATAACAATAAAAGAAATGCCATTAATGCTTGCATAATATTGATGAATGTAGTTTAAATCAATAATTTTTTTATTTATTTTATTGAGATATTAAATTGAGATATTACATTTGATAGATGAGCATGGAATTTATATTGAGATGTTACATTTAATAGAGAAGGTAAAAAAAAGGATCATTGATTCTGTTTTAGTGCACCAGTAAATTAAGCACTTCTTGTGAATTAGTTTTACACTGAAAATATAGTTTTTAAGTATTTTTAGTATGTAATTTAATCTATTATTAGTTTTACTTATTGTATTCTAATAATTACATTTATATTATATATTGTAATAATTGTGCACTTGGTTCAAGGTGGTTTAACTTTTTTTGCATATTGATTAATTTGGTAAAAACTATAAAAGTATAACATATTAAAAGTTAAAAAAAAAGGTTTTATATAAAAAAAATTATTTGTATTTAAGTGTTTTTTCTCTCTAAAAGCTTGTCAGTGAAATCTGCTAATGAAAAGTGTAATACAAATGATTAACAACAATTTCTACTTCCTTAATCATTAAATTCATTAAAGTCTTGATGTCCCAACCTCTTATCTCCTCAGAAGTGAATAATTAGTATAAACATATATTTTTTACAACACATTTTAACTAAAGTCTTCATTCTAACAAGAAATAATTTCTAACTTAAAAAGTGATGCCATTTTGACGTTATTTTCTTAGTAGACAAATAGAAACTTGATTATTAGTAAATAATTGTTAATGTCAGTACATCACACCTGTTTTTCAATGTCTATTATGGTTTTTCCTTATTGTTTTAAATAGTGTTTAATATTGTTAATATAATGTTTATGTTAATGTAATTTACAGTTAATAAAATGTTTATAATAGTAATAAGTAAAATCTTAATTAGTTTTTTTTCAATTAAATTGTTTAAAAGGATAAATTTCAATTAGTCAAGTTGTTAAAAAATTTAAAACAATTAAGTAATGAATTTGTTAAAAAAATATTAGTAGTTAAAAAAAAAAAAAAAAGTAATAAAGAACTGAAAAACAGTTTAAGTAAGAAAGTTCATGTGAAATTTATGTGTGAATTACCACAAACAAAGTGGATTTATGGTAATTCTTATATGAATCTTGCTGATAAAATCCATATCATCAAAAAGTAGCTGAATTGTGATAGAATATTTATTATTATACTTTACCCAAACTGTCTCATACTCAAAAATTTTGACTGAATAAGTTAAATAGGGTATTCATACTATCAAAAAAAGCTGAATATTTATTATCATAACTAAATAAATAACACTTTTTACAATGTTACCCATCTTTAAAAAAATTATGTATGATTATACTAAATTTGATTACCTAAAATTTGTTAAACTTTTAAATAAGCTGTGAAGATTTTTTAAAGGGAGTTTTAAACTGACACGTATTGATTGTTGTCATAAACTCGTTTATTATGCTTGAAGCCAATAGAAAGTGTTTTCCAGGTAATAAAAAGAGGATGATTAACACAATATTTATCTTCGTTGTTTTTTTATAGAAAAAAAATCAAGAGGTTTTTTGAGCCCTATAAAAGTTTTTATGCAATAATTATGCTTAAAATTGCATGATTATTGCATAAATTACATCATTGCATAAAATGATCTAGTTATTGGGAGAATGACTTAAGGTTTCACAAATTGCAAGATGAACTTGTACATTTGTCTTGATAACATAAAATAGGGATTTTTAATTGATCAACAGTTTCATGAATATATCGATGACAGTATAGCTTTTTACTTTATTAAATAATTCACTATAGTTTGATGCTATAAGCTAGGTCTATCGTTTCACGTTAAAAGCTTTTCATGTTCCTCGATAGTGGTAATATAACTACCTTTTTAAATTGTAAAAGTAACAATTCTGATATCGAAAAAAATTAAATCAAGTGAAAGTGACAATAGTTTTGAGCAAGATTGGAGTCAATATTATATTGTGGTTAGGAATATTTGGATGAACAAGATCAGCTATAATTAACTGTCTAATTTAAACTTTACTTTTTTATTATTGATGCTAAGCACATTAAAATTAAATTTTCCACTAACATGGTGAGAAATTTATAAAGTAGTTGTTTGCCTTCTCTTATAAAAGGGTTTTAAAATTTGTTTTTCAGTATACTAATAATTGTATTTAATCAGTAAATAGTAATTTAACAATATATAGAAGCAGTATATATAAGCTTAACTATGAAAATTAAACAGTATTTAAAAAATAATAATATTTATAGATTACTTTTTTTTCTCTTTTTTTTTTAAATTAGTAAATTTTTTGAAAATTTTATCAGCACTTTTTGAATTATAACTAATATTTATTTAACATTTTTATTGGTTGATTAAAGTATAATAAATCAATGTCATTAGTATATTGTTGAACTCTACAGCATTTAGTAACAATAGTAAAATTATTTTTTAAACATGTAATAAATTAGTTCAAGTACAGATCCCAAAAGTCTTTCTAATGTCAAACTTTCATGTTTGACATTAGAAAGACTAATATCTATTTCAAAGAGAAAATTTCACTTTTCAGAAAATTTCAGAAAAATTTTCAAGAGAATTTTTTAATGCAATAAAATAATGAAAAAAATGATCAAAAATTCAAGAAACATCAAAATGTTTCTGAAAATATCTGATTCATAAATTAAAGTTTTTTTAACAAATAATTTTTTTTGTAGTTACACTTGTAATCATATTTACTTAAAAACATTTTATATTTTTAAATAGACTTTTTATTTATTTATTTTTTTAAGAAAAAATATCCCTCTCTAAGCTCTAACTCCAAAAAAACAAAGCTTAACAAACAAGGAACCAAGAGAAACAAATTAAACCTTCAGTAACAAGGCTTGAGCTTTATTGCTTTCAATGGAATTGCTCTACCACTTATCTTATAATACTCTAATATAAACTCACATTTTATTTTAGAAATAAACTAATGATACTAAGAGTACCTTGTAGTAAACAGTTATTGAAATCATAAATTAAAATTCATCTATGTCATTTAAAAAAAGTCATTTAAAAGTAACTTAGAATATATTCTGATTTCATTCCTAGATTAATAATTTTTAAGTGTTCAAAATACTTTAAGCTATATTGTTAACTTTGTCAAGCTTATAATTATTGGACTTGATTTTTCAGGGCATATTATTTAATAAATGTTTTAGAGTTGTTGCAAGAAAGATAATACAAAAACTACAAGAGTGTGTTGAATTTAAAAATTTGTTTTTATAATATATTATTATAAGTAAATTCTTTAAAAATAAAAAAAATGAAACCTTAAATAAATACAGTTTTATTTTCTTTGGAAGTGTTCATAAGAAGTGAATTAATATAAAACATAAAAATTATCAATTAACATTAATGAATACTTATGCATGCTACTTTTAATAATGTTAAATTTCTTTTTTGTTTGTCTATTATTTCTTTAAATGCATAATTATTTATATATACAAGATTTTATGCTACTTTTTAAATATAGACATTTTAAGCCTACAAGCAAGCAGGTTCTCAAAATTGAAATTCATAGTATGGTATAAAGCTTAATAATGGACTAAAATAAATACTCTTGCTTTTTCCCTATATCGTTTCTAGAAAAGATTTTATTTAAAAACTTTTGTAAAAAATGATATTTATTATTTTTAAACAGACACATAAATTTTTCCTATAGTATCAAAAGATTTTAATAGTTTTTTTTTTTTTTTAAATATTGGTAATATATGATTTAAATAAACATAGTGATTGATTTATTATACCTTATTTTATAATCATTTCTAATTTTTTAAATTTCTAGTTTTTAAAAAGAAAGTTAAGAAAATTGTAAACAACAAATTTTGTTTCCTTGCATACAACTTGTTTACCAAAACTTGTTTTGAAAATACTAGCTTTTTTTAATATTAAATATTGACATCTTGAAATTCTGTCAAAACATCAATATTATGAAAATTGCACAGCTATTGTTCAATTTATTGTTACATGGCATTGTATTTGTATATCCAAGTTACTTTAATTACACTTATGGCTTTAAAAACAAACTTTTTATTTGCTTATTGTAAATATTTTTTGTTTTGTTATAATATCTTGTTGTTTGTTTTCTTTTACACTAATATCTTTTAAAACAGAATTATTTAATGTATTTGAACTTTTGCAAAAATTTTGATTGTTTATTATTCATTTATAATTTTTATGCATAAAATTTTGTGTCTGTTATTTGAAAAAATAGGAAAAAAATCAGTTATTTAGCTATTCTTAAAATGATATACTTATCTGATTATTTTTTTATTATTATTATTTAAAAATAGTTTTAACATTGTGAACAGCTTTGCATTCCAGTTCCTGAGTTTTGAGATAAAAATTTAAAAACAAATTTATGTTATTACAAATTATTGAAAAAAATACCCTTAAAAAAAAAGCAAAAAAGTTGTATTAAAAAAACAACACAATTTAACATTTTGAAATACTTTTTATTTTTTAAATATTTGCCAAATAAAAAGTAATAAAAAATGTTCAAAATTTACTTGGATTAGTTTAGTAATTTACCAATCTTTATATAAGAAACTCTAAACACAAATCCAATGTAAAAGTAACAATTTTTAAAATTTTTACAGTCCTGATCTAAGAGAATTTCTTCAACTTGATAATCCACGCAACACATCAAATGATTTAGATGAAGAGGATAATCAGCAAGATTTAAGTGTTGAGACCCTGGTAATAAATTGCACTTTTAGTTTTTTTTTTTAAGAAATGTTTAAATACATGAATAAATTATTTAATTAGCTTTTTTTATTTGTGATATTTTTTATTATATCATATACATTTATTTGAGGTTCTTTAATAAATTTCCAGTGTGATTTTTGTATGTTTAACAAATAAACAAAAATGATTAGAAAATTTTTTTTTCAGACATCAGATATGGAGAAGGTAGATTTAGGTCAATCTGAATCTACTAAGTATGTGCTTATTATGCTCTAGTTGAACTGTTTTTTTGTATACTGATTTTTTTTAAGTTTTATAAGATCCATTGTATAATTTTATTTTTATTCAGAGATTTGTCTTTTCAGAGCGAAACCTGCTGATTTTCTGTTTTTAAAAGTTATTGGTAAAGGTAGTTTTGGCAAGGTAAATTTTTTATTATGAAATCTTAAATTGTTTAAGTTTCAAAAAAATACTTAAAATAATTTTTTTTTGAAAAAAAAATAAATAATGATACATCTATGCCTATTATTATTTCAAGTACATTAATGTGTACTATTGTTTCAAATACATTAATGTGAACTTTTATTTGCTTTTATAAATGTTAATATTTCTAATGCTTTTGTTACAGGTACTTTTAGCAAAGCATAAAGCTGAAGAAAAATTTTATGCAATTAAAGTACTTCATAAAGCAGCTATTCGAAAAAGAAATGAGGTATTCATTTGGATTAAAATGCAACAAATACTATTTTAAAAAATTATTATGTTCAAATTTATATCTAATATATTATCTTTTATTTGAATTTAGGATATTTAAATGCTTGTTGCATATTATATTAAAAAAGCTCAATTTGACCCAACATTTCAAGTCTAGATTTTTAAATCTTTTCTTATATATTCTTATATATAAAATAAATGGAACACCCTGACTTAGTTTTAAGCTTTTTTATGTCAATGTAATGATTAAAAAAATCTTTTGTTTTACCTAGCATACTTTGATATTAATACATAGATATTGGTTATATAGGCGAGACATATCATGGCAGAAAGGAATGTTTTACTCCAAAATGTGAAGCATCCATTTTTAGTTGTAAGTATTTAAATATATATATATATATATATATATATATATATATATATATATATATATATATATATATATATATATATATATATATATATATATATATATATATATATATATGTATGTACATAATTTATTATTTTTGATGACCATAATCGTGTTGCACACTTGTGTTGTATGAACAGTTTTTTTAAACAACCATAAAAATTATTTGGAATATTACCAAGATTTAGAGGTCCTGCTAAACCCATCCTTACATTTACCTAACTAATTTTATTAGCTATTTCAAATAAATAAAACAGCAAAACATACAATCACTTAAAATATGAATAAAATAAAATTTTCATAAAATTATTTTAAAAAATGTGAAATAAATATATTATTTAATATTCTAAATAAATAAGGAAAATAAAAACAAAATAAATTACCTTTTTTAAAATTCTAAATAAAATAATTAAAATAAAAACATTAAAATAAATGTTTTATTTAAATTCTCAACTAATTAATTTAAAAACAGCAAAATACTTTTATTTAAAGTCTATATAACATAATCAAAATACAAACAAACAAAAAAATGAATTCATCAAATTCTAAATTTAAACCTATATTTATATATAAAAAACATCAACTTAGAAAAACGAATGTCTCATTTAAATAAAAACAGAATAAAGAGCATTTTATTAAATTCTAAATTTAAATAATTGTGCAAATAACACAATTTAACTTTTAATGATGTAAATACCTAAGGTGGGTCACATTTATTAGCATTATACATTTTCATTAGGCAATAAAATCTCGTAACAAGGCCTGAGTTATGGAAATATTAATGAATATATATATATATATATATATATATATATATATATATATATATATATATATATATATATATATATATATATATATATATATATATATATATGATTAATATCATCGCTTCCAACAAGGCTGCAAGCAACCAATAATTAGAGTTGGAATTTACTGGAAGAGAAAATATGAAGATTGTAGAGCAAGATAACGATTGACAGACAACTTAAAAGATTAGAAATTATATGAATCAGGAAAGCAAGATGAAAGAAGCGAATTCCAAAGAACTGATTTTCGAGAAAAAGTAGACGAAGTCTACTTTTTCTCGAAAATCAGTTCTTTGGAATTTTTGGAGCACTTAGGAAGAGTTTTTGGATCACTTAGGAACAGTCACAGAAAATAGATAAGACTTAATTGAATGGTGAGAAACACAAGAATGAATTTTAGTAGATGGCACAAGAGACGCTAGCTCCTTAGAGCAGTGTCCATTATAGTATTTGTAGAAAAGAGAAAGAGAAGCAACGTTATGACGATGTGATAATGGTTGGAGGTTAGCTGCAATAGCAGGTCCAACTATGTTTACAATGCGTTTTTGCACCTTGTCTAAAAAGGCATCATTAGAAGATCTGCCCCAGATATGGCAACAATATTCCATACAAGGCCAGACTTGAGATTTATAGAGATAGAGAATAGAATCTGGAGTAAGAAAGTGTCAAGCTCGATAAAGAGATGCAGATGCTAATTTTGCAACGGATTTGATATATGCTTTCCAAGAAAGAGTAAAGGTTAATTCTAGAAGATAAAGGGTAGATGACTCATCAAGTACATTACCATTCATAAATATAGCAAGATCTAAATTATTGTGATAACAATTAGCTGAAAAAAAAGTGTTTTTTTTTTTAAAAGTTTACCAGCCACTGTGAACCCCATGCTGTAGCAGAAGTGAAATCCTTTTCAAGCTCAAATATCCCCTCCAAGCAATCAGAGAGTGTTGGTTTCTTATCATGACAAGAATAAATGGTAGTATGATTGGCAAACAATGCCATCTTAGATGTGTGAATATCTGGAAGATCGTTAATGTAAATTGTAAAGAGTATAGGGCCAAAGATTGAACTTTGAGGAACCCTTAAAGTTACAGAAAAAGAAGAAGAGTGCTGTCTATCGAGGACAACTTTTATACTATGATTGGAAAGGAAGGATTCAATAATCTTAAAGATGTTACCAGATACACCGTAAGAAGAAAGCTTATGGAGAAGACCAGCATGCCAAACTTCATCAAAAGCTTTAGAAATGTCAAGAGTGATGATCTTAACCTCTCCACCTTTATCTAATGCGCAATAAAACCTTTTGGTTATTACTGTTAGCAAATCAGCTGTAGAACGACAAGATCGAAATCTATATTGATGATCAGAAAGTAAGTTATTAGATTCAAGATAAGAGATTAAGTGTTTGTTAATTAAAGATTCAAAAACCTTGCTTATGATAGGAAGAAGACTAATGGAATCAAGAGATAATATTGATGAAAAGTTCTTAGCAAACAATTCAGCATTGTCTTTAGGTGAGGTGACAAAGTCTGAACCATACAAGAGAGGTGGAATAACAGATTTGCCAATATTAATGATACTGTAAAAGATTATTCAGAAGTCACAAAAGCCTAATTTTTGTGATGAAATACAAGATTTTATCACCTAAGAATAGCGGGCTTTGGCTTTATACAAAAACTTTTTACAATGGTTTCTAGCAGTAATAAACAGTTGTCTGTTTTCTGGAGAATTGTTTTGCTAATAGATATGGAAGTAATTGTTTCAATTGGAAATTGCAGCAGCACAGTGTGAGGAAAACCATGGAGAAGAGTGAGGCTTGACCTGAAATTGTCGAGATGGAATAAAAGATTCTATGCCAGCCTGAATACATGAAGTTATGTAAAAAGCACATTTGCCAGCAGGAAGATGAAAGATTTCTACCCAAGGGCCATGACACTAGAGTCACTGACACTACAGCCAAGCCATTCTATGTGATGAGCAATAAAGTCACCAATAATAATGATATTGGCTGATGGATAAAGACAGAGGGCTTGGTCAATTTGATCAGAAATAATATCAAAAAGAATGTCTTGAGATGAAGGAGAGTAATATAAAATAAAGAGAAAGGCAATAGAGTGAAGTGGTGCTTAATGAAAGCACATAAAAGGGTAGTCAAACTTAGTTTCCTGACAAATGGGTGAAATTTTACGAGTGTAAATGCCCAGGTCAAGCATGTGACTATTAGAGTCTCGTTTATTGTCAGACCTTGTTAATACCTAGTAGATGCTGAATATGATGGGTTCATTAAAGCATCAAGGGCAGCTACTGAAAATAAACATAAGCAGGAGCTTATTGCAGAAATTTATGCCAAAGAAAAATTTTTTAGATCCCATGATTTACTTTGTGTTATTTACTTTTGAAATTTTCCAACACTTTTGTCGTATAATGATGAAAATTAATCATCATTATAATTTCATTCATTATATATTCTAAACATTCCATTTTAAGTTTTTATATGAAATAGCTCATTCTTAAAATGTTTTAAAGTTTTATTTTTTCAAATTTAAACAAGTTTTTAAATTCAAGTCTAAATATTTTTTTAACGTTTGTTTTTCTTTTGATTTGTCTTAATAGGTATTTAAATTATGTGTAATTGTTATAAAAGATGAAAAACCACATTAGTATTTATGTAAAGTCTTGACATAAAAAACATGTTTATTTGTAGCTTTCAAAAATAAAATTTTCCAAAAACCTACACGTGTTCATGGTATATTTTTTTTTAGGGCTTGCATTACTCATTTCAAACAAATGATAAGCTTTATTTTGTTCTTGATTATGTTAATGGAGGAGAGGTAAGATTTTATTTTTATACTCAAGTTGTATAATGGTTTTTATTAAATTGAGGCGTGGGAAAAATTTTTACTACTTTGAAATCTATTTATCTGCCTGATATTAAATATTTTATTAAAATTTAACATTTCAAACACAGTGAACTTAAACCCTTTTATTGTTGAAGTTGCCAGTGTCAGCCTTCTTATTACCTTTTTGCAAAAGGTTTTTGGTCACCTTTTGATTTTATAAGTTTGCAGGTAACTTGCTGGTAACACAAAAAATAATGACAAATCAAATTCAAATTGAGATACTGCTATCAAATGTTTAGTTTACATAAAAAATAAAAATTTTTATACTAAATGTTAAAAATCCTGTTTAAATAAAATTAGTAAAAATGAAAATTATATTTATGTAATATATAGTTAATTTTTTTAATTAATTTTTCAGGTCTTTTTATCAGTTTTCATTACATTACAATTTTTTTAAGCTTCATCCAGACATATTTTCTGGTTTTTTTAAGTCTATTTTTAAGTATGATGCATACTGCAAAGTATACATACCATAAAATGCATACTGCAAAGTATAAAAAAATAAGTTTGTAATCATACATGATGCATACTGCAAAGTATACATATATTATTAATATGTTAATAATGAAACAACGCTAAAATTGTTGGTGAAATTTAAATGAAAAAAGTTTATTTTTTGTTGTAATTTTTCTTAACAATCTTACTGGCGTCTAAAAAAAAAAAAAAAAAATTCTATTTGCAATTCATTTTAAAAAAAGATTTCAACTTTTTTTAAATTAAATTAAATAAGGGTTTTTATATGATTTCACATTTTTAAAGTCCACACTTTTAAATTTATTACACTGCTACTTTGTACATCTTGACAGAATATAAGTTAAGTATATCAACATTTATCGTTTTTTAAATTTTACATTTTTGTTGCTAAATGTTAAAACAAAAAAATCTGCAAAACAATTATATTTATTAATGATATTTCTACAGCATAAAGCATTTATATTAAAGCCATTTTTTAAATTTTATTTTCCTAATTTTTTTTTTCTTTCCTTTTTTTTTTCCTAATTTTTTATTATTTGCTAATTTATTTTCCTTATAATATTTGTCAAAATGTCATTCTGACTTATTGTTTTCAAATTAAATTTTTACTTTTTACTCCTTTTAAAACTTTTAAGAATAGTTTTATTTTATTTTATCTCTAAATCTTTCTTAAATTTATTTTTTTCTTTCCTGTAGAAAATCTTTTATAACTTTTTAAAATTTTTATGCACACAAGCATTTTATTAAAGTTAGATGAAATAATAGGAAAAGTGTGGTAAACGTATTGACTAATATGTTCTAGTTGGGGGCAGTGGTATTTCATGAGAAAATGTTATGGGGTTGTGACTCATTATTTTTATGTGTTAAAATGGTTACTTACATCACATAAATTATTTTGAGAAAATTCAGATATATCAAAAACTCATAAACTTTTGACATATCTTTTCTTCAAAATTAGCTATTTTACAATTTTTTTTGTTTGGCTATTGTCTTGGTTTTGTTTGTTTTGAAGTTATTTTACTTAATAGGTTAGAGCTATTAATTACAAAGATTGCAAAAACAGTGTTGAAATTTCACAAAGTAATCTTTGTGATACAGGTGACCAGTTTGACACCAACAGTTTGAAAAGTATTTTAAAAATCTTAGTTGGTAGGTTACATACTTCATCCTCATAATATGTTTCTCATAGAAATTCTTGGCTGGTTTTAAGTTAATATTTGATAATTACATAATTCAAAATACTTTCTTTTTTTAATTTAGTTGTTCTTTCATTTACAAAGAGAGCGGTATTTTCCTGAACACAGGTTTGATGATACCATTGAATACACTAATATACACTATACACAAAACCTCTATACACCTTTACATAAAAACTTGTTTTTCATATAATTTTTTTCCCTTTAACAGGGCTCGCTTTTATGCTGCTGAAATTGGATCAGCAATTGGTTATCTTCATCAACTAAGTATAATCTACAGGTATGTATTTATATTTGTATAATATGGTCAAAACAGGCGGTCAACAGTCAATGGCTGCCCTAAATAATCTAAGTTGGTATTTTGACCCAAAACAAATTTTTGTTTGCTAAAGTAGACTAATTTAAAAAAGTAGGAGTTTTGAAAAGTAAGACCTTACAAATAAACAGGATGTATTTCATTGATTTTACTTTGTTTTTATTTTTTATATATTAACCTCTTTTTTTTTTTTTTCTTCTGCTAATAGCAAAGTTATTGCAAGATTTTCAATGATTTTTCAATAAAATTTTTCAATTCTCAAAAAATGCAATTAAATTAAATATAAAAACAATGGCATACTTAATAATATATATTCAGTTTGAATTGTTTTTAATATTTTTCTTGTTGCAGAGAAAAAGTATTTTCTAAACTTAGTTTTAAAATTTAGATTTTCAATATAAAAACATTTCTGCTATGCTAGAGTTTCTGCTTTTCTGAATTTCTGATAGAGTAATCTTTGCATCATGTAAAATCTAAAATCTCAGCATTTTCTCCACTTAACTATGGCATAAATTTATGTATCATATTCTCCTTTATAGAAAAGTTTACAGTTTACAATTTTTCAATTTATTTAATTATTTTTTTATTATTATAAAGTACATTGTAAATAATTAAAAACAAAAAAAATAATAAAAATAAAGTTGCAAATGTTATCATGTTTCTCGATAGAAATGCTTTTGAGGAACCAAATTTTCAGGCAATCAAAAGATAACATAAATTAATCCATAAATCCATATTAATATTCTTTTAATATATAATGAAAACTTATTTACAAACATCCAAAAAAAAATTTCTGTATTTTAATACATGAAACAAAAAGCAATATAGGAAGACCATAACGTTTATACTATCATGGTTGCAGCTCAAAGGAGCTATCATCTCTAGTTCCACCAACAAAAGCTCATTCTTGCATGACTCATCATTCAGCAAAGTCATCCTTTTACTGTACCTGTCCCTGCATTTTTTAGAAACTTTAATTTATTCTGTTTTTTTTCCTCATACATTAACCTTTTGGAACTCTCTGCCATCTTCATGTTTTTAAACAACCTAGAACTTTTTAAATTTTATTTCAATTAATTTCTTGCTCTTTAACTCTAACCTTTGTTTTCTAGTAACTCCCAGCTTTTGCTTACAGCCTTATTGAGAGTGAATCAGAAATAAATAAACAAATAAATAACATCAATGTCAAAAACACTAGTTTCTGTATCATCAACTGCTGATGACCTAATAATTATTTTTTTTTTGTCACAGATTTTATTTAAGAAAATAGTCCTCAGAACTTAAGTTGGATAAATAATCTTTCCTGTATATTGGACTAGATCTTTAACACAATAATTTCTTGTATAACTTGCTGCAGCCTTACTTATTTCTTCTAATTAAATTTATTTAGTAAAATATCTGTCAGTCATAAGTAATGCAACAGTTGCAAAATACAGACATAGTTATCAGGTTCATTAGGACATGAGTCTAATTTAACAAAAATATCTCTCAGACATACACAGAGCTATATCTTTCAAAGATATATATGTTAGACACAACTAAAGGGTTAAAATTTGTTGCTATTTAAAAAAAGAATCAAAATATCAACCACTTGCTAATTAATTTTCAACATTTTTTAATGATTTACTTAGTTTAAAGAAAATGGGTTAAATTGTAATAAGTTACTATATCTTCTTAATTTATTACAACCAATTAAAGCTTTATGATATCTCTATTTTTATTTTATTGAAAAACTCTGCACATGCAAGTTATTTACTTATATTTAATATAAGCAGTTAATTTAATTGTTTTTCATTTGTGAATTTTCATTAATGAAATGCAAAAAAAATTATTTTAAGTTATCATGAAAATAATACAAATTTGTTAGTTTTAATCTCTATTAGCTATAATGAAGATGAAAATCAACCCTTAGAGAAAAAAGCTTTTTAATTGACCATATAAAAAAAAAAGTCAAGTCTAAGTGTTTCACGCTGGTGTGTTTTTCTCTCTCTATATTATACAAAATCGTTTAAATTTACGAAACTGTTTTATGTAAGAGTTTCTTATTAAGAGTTTTTAAGAGAGTTTTTTGTGACATAAGAATTTGAACATGGATTTCCCTCGAAATATTGTAAAAATAAATATATTTTTAACAAATAGATATTAAACCATAAAAAGAAGTTTTATTTAAAATATTTATACAAATAAAATCTATTAAAGATGTCAACGTTTAAAAAATATATATATATATTTGTTTTTATATACATACATACATACATACATACATACATACATACATACATACATACATACATACATACATACATACATACATACATACATACATACATATATAATTATGTATGCATGTATGCACACACACTTACTTACTCATTTTCAATTTAGGTTACCATTACAAATTTCTTCATAAGCTTAAATCTTCACTTGATGTATGTACAGAAGCTCCTATATATATATATATATATATATATATATATATATATATATATATATATATATATATATATATATATATATATATATATATATATATTATATATATATATATATATATATATATATATATATTTTTATATATATATATATATAAAAATATATATATATATATAAAAATATGTATATATATATATATATATATTTTTTAATAAACTCTTCATTTATATTCTTTAAGAGGAAAGATTAAATTACGATAATCTGCAAAAAGAAATATGAATATTATAATTTTTTGGCTGCAAAAAAACGATACACTGTTAACATGCTCAACATGCGCAACCTTCCCCTACAAGCATTTTCCGTCTCTGATGGTTTTGCTTTTTCCAAATATTTTGTTAGTGAACCAAAGATTTTTTTAGCGTCATATTGTTTTTCTTCTCGCTTTTTTTTTCTGTGTTCCGGACAATCTTTTCGTTTTTCTTTCAGACATTTTAAGGATTTTGACTAAAATGTTTAAAAATAATAATATAAAAAAATATATAAATACTTTTTCAAAAAATTAGTAATTAGTAAGTAATTCACTTATTTTATTATTTTTTTGGTTTATTTCTGATTAAATATTAATAAAATGTATATCAAAAATTATTGTTTTTACTAAAACATAAAGAATTTAATAAATAAATATCTCTAACTATTAGTACTTACTTTTTATTGATGTACACTACACACACAAAATATACATAAATGAGCATGTGAAGTAAAATTAAAGAAATAGTATAGTATTAGCATTGAATTTACACATATAAATTCAATGGTATAAGTGTGTTTAACACATTTGCTGCAACTGGCTTCCATAGATAGACGCCGGGGTCGCGCCGGCAGCATTCTTAGTGGCATGTGCGCAAAAACAAAATCAACAGTTTAATTAACGTAAAGAAAAAAATTAATATATATATATATATATATATGTATATATATAGAGAGAGAGATTCTACGATAATTAAGTATAAATTACAATTTTTTTATAATTTTGACAAAATGGGCTATAGCAAAAAAATTAAATTAAATTAATATTTAACAAAAGGTTAACAACTTATAAAATGGTAACTATTATGTAAAAAAAGATATCTTATAATGGTTCAACTGTTTGTTCATCTCTGGAATTTTCCATTCAATGAACAAACTTTCCTCAACTTGAAGCTGAAATTTATTGGAGGGAGAATCTAATATTGAAAAACAATCATTATGATTAAACGGGTTATTTTAGAAAGACCATAAGTCATTTTTAGATAAGTCAAGCATGATATCGTGTTTTCTGAGGATAGGTACATGTTTCTTTGAGAAATTACACATTTGTCGGACCTTTTAGTCAACATCTTATTAAGTATTGATTGAAAGGTCTGACAAGCATGTAACATGTATCTACCCACATATAACATGATTCCATGTTTCATCATTTTTTGTCCAAAAATTACTTATGGTGTTTCTGAAATGACCCATTCAATTATCAAAACAAAGATGTTTGTATATTTTTAAGTTTTTGTCTCTTCTGCAGTGTTCAAACATTTGTGTTTTAAAGTGGCAAGAAGTTTTGCCTGTATAACAGGAGTTACATCCTGTGCATACAAATTTATAAACAACAAATGATTTGAACTCTACAGGATGAAGATCTTTTAGTGAAAACATATTCAAGGTTTTAAAAGAGGTAAAAATCAAATTAAAAGATATAAGTTTAAAATATTTATTAATGATAGAGTTTAAACTCTTTTTGGCTTGAACAGATATATTAACAGCATGAGGAAGTGTAAAGTAGTTTTTTATGACTTCTTGGTTTTTAGATTCGTATTGATTAGTAGAAATTTTTTTTTGGTAAGATAAGAATTTTATTTATAATATAAATTTTATTTATAAGTTAAGATGGATACATGTTGCTTTTAAGAATGTTAGAAAAATTATTGTCATTACAAAAATCAAGTTTAGTAATTAATTTAAAGGTTCTATCAATTTAGTGTTTAATTAAATTGACCTTGTGTGATAAAGATATAAACAACAAAAAGAGGTATGAAGGCCTGAAAATGTTTCCTTATAAAAAATGGAAGTACATAAAGATATATATATATATATATATATATATATATATATATATATATATATATATATACAAAAAGTGTTGCATACTTAGGTAAGCAACCTGACGTCATACTGAAATAGCCTGTTGCTGGGGGCTTCAGTACATACATTCACTGACAAATAGCGTGACTCGCAGTTAAGTACTGCTACATCGACTAAGGGTTTGGGTTGGGGCAGCAATCGTTTCATTCATCATTCTTCATTTTTTTTCTTTTTCTAAAAAAACTGTATGGGTTAAGGTAAGCAAAAAAGTGAGCAAATGCTTATAAAAATACGCTTTAGTATATATATATATATATATATATATATATATATATATATATATATATATATATATATATATATATATATATATATATATATATATATATATATATATATATATATTCTACAATTTGTATACTTTATATATACTTTGTTGTTAGATAACATATAATTTTGTTTTGTATATGATTTTATTGATCTTCAATGTTTTTAAATTAAAAAAATTTTATTTTAATTTTATTTTAGAGATTTGAAACCAGAGAATATTTTATTAGATTCACAAGTATTTATATATTTAGTTATAAAATTTTAGACTTAAAGTAAAGAGTTATTTTGAATTGTCTGTTTAAAATACTTTTTTTTTTAAATTCTTTCAGGGTCATGTGGTTTTAACAGATTTTGGACTTTGTAAAGAAGGAATTGAACCTAAAGGAACAACATCTACTTTCTGTGGTACTCCAGAGGTATTAGTTGTTGCTGCTTATCAAATAATTGCTTTAGTTAATTGATTTTTTCTTTCAATTATCCCTTAAATAATATACCGCCCGTGAAATTATAGAAGATATAAATAGATTTTTTTTACAAAAACTGCCTTAATAATTTATTCTAATCAAACAATCAATAAAGTATTTAAATTGTTTTTAAAATTACCTCTTTAACAATTTAATCATATTGAGCAATGAATATAAGATATAATTAGGTTTTCTTTAGATCACCTCCTAAATAATTTAACCTAGTTAAGATATAATTGAATTTTTTTTTTTAATTACCTTCTAAGTAATTAACTCCATTCTAAGTAATTAACTCCATTAAAAATAATTTTTAGATTTAAGAGTTTATTGGTACTAGGTAAAAAGCGAACCAGTAAAGTGCTTGCTTTTTTGCAAACCATGATTGGTTATTATTAATATAGTAGTTGATAAGCTTTTTTCAAGATAATTATGACTTGCCCAACCAAAAACCTGATGTATGTATGGTTAGTTATGTTAATCCTATGGCAAGTTGATTTGTTCACCTTTAGTAATATACAAAACTTTAACACATCAAAATATTTATATTAAAGTTAGTAAAATATTTACAGTCATTGAAATATTTTTTTATTCACAAAAAAGTTTACATTTTACAGGTTTGCAGTTTGCATTATTTGGGTTTTTTAATTTTTTATGTTAAGTTAATTAAATGTATTTTTATTTTTATTTAGTTGATTTATTTTTATTTTATTTATTTTTATTTTTTATTTGATAAAATACAGTATTACATAAGTAATGTAATTGCTCTAAAAGACTTCTATTTTTAAACTATAGTATTTAGCTCCAGAGGTACTTCGAAAACAAGCATATGACAAGTCAGTTGACTGGTGGTGCTTAGGTGCAGTGACTTATGAAATGATGTATGGTCTTCCTCCTTTTTATTCTCGTGATACTGCTGAAATGTATGACAATATTCTTCATAAACCGCTTCGTCTTAGAACAAATGTTTCCCAAAGTGCAAGACATTTGCTTGAACAGGTAGAGAAGTTCTTTATAATTTATAATTTATTTTAAATTTTTAATTAAATCAATAATTATTAAAAAAAAAATTTTTGTTCAATCAAACTATTTAATATTGTTTTTTACTATTATAGCTTCTTCAAAAAGATAGAACAAAGCGTTTAGGAAATTCTAATGCAGATTTTGTAAGTTTTGTTTTTTGTTTTTTGTAAAGAAACATTATAAAAAAGAATATTTCAAACATTTTAATGGTTTTGTAATATGGTTTTGTAGCTTATTAAAAACATTAATTAACTTTAAATTACCTTTCAAGTTACTGTTGAAATAGCAAATGATTTTAATATGTGCTCCTTGTTTTAGATTTGTTCAATTTTTAAATTGTTATTGTAACTATTGTTAACTTTCATGATATTAAAATAAATAGATATAAACAAAACAAATTAATAAAACTAAAAATATTTAACTTAACTATTCAAGATAGACAATTTTGCAAACATGAAAGCAAGAAAGAAAGAAAACTTTGCAGTAAAAATAAAAATTTTAATTTGTTCAGAAACTCACTCTCAGAAAATTGCATTATTATTGAAAAAAAAACTTATTCAGTTCAAAGTTGTCAAATCTAAAGTATTTAATAATTTGAATTTTATTTTTAAATAATGAAATTTTTTGTAAAATTGACTACTCCAAATATCTGGAACCCTGTTCTGGCCTAGAGCTGCCGAATATCTGCAGTCAAGCCTGATATTGAATTAACTTGAATACCTTTAATTGTAATTTAATTATTTTTAAAGTAGATACTTGAAAATATCTTGTTTAGAAAAACAAGATTTACTTAAAACAAACTCAAAGCTTAACATATCTTAGGTTTTTTTATTAAATAAAAAAAGTGATTCCAGTTTTTTGTTATTCAAACTCACAAAACAAAAATTTGCTTAAAAATGATAAATTTTTAATTCACAAAAATTTTTTATTTTTTATTATTTCAAAAAATATTACCTATTATAGCGGAGTAAAAAAATTTAGATATTAAAGAAAGAAGGTAACAATCCAAATATTTTCATTTAACAGTTTTTCATATTAAGTATTATAATATAAATATTACATACAGATATAAATAAGGAATTAAAAAAATTTTTTTTATATATTGATATTTGTTTTTCTATTGTTATCATAAAATTAGTAGGGCTGTACCAGATTTAATTTTTCCAAATCCAACCGGAGCCGGATTTGCTGGATTTCTACTGACAAATTCGTCTGGATTTCGAAACAAAATTACAGGAGCCCAAATCCTGTTCATCCCTCCTTGATATTGATAGTGGTCAACAACGTTGACCATTTTCAATATCAATTGACAACTGTTTTTATGTTAAACTTCATTGTTGTTTTTAAAATAGAAGGACACAATTTCACATAACATATCATAACATAACAAAATAATTTATAAACAATTGGAACTTTCAATTTGAAAGTAAAGTAAGTAACTTCAGTTTCAGTTATTTTTTTAAAATGTCCTAATGATTTTCTGGATTTTTAAAATTTGACCTGGATAATCTATAATAAATATATATTAGCATTATGTGGCAGGAGTGAACTACGATGATCATTGAGGACCTCCCAGAAACATTAAACAAACGTTCTAATGATAAACTTGTTGGTGGGACACCCAAATAAATGCGTGCTACTGTTGCCACAGCTTGCAATCGTAGCATGTTGTCACTCCACCACTGTAGTGGATCAGCCTGTCTATTTATTTCTGGTTCTGTCAGATACTGGCTTAGCTGAGTGTTATTGCCTGTTGGTAATTGTTGTTCATGTGCTGTGCCACCAGACTGAACAATATCATCAATACATTGTCAGAGTAATAATTAAGATGTAGAAAAATTATCATGCTGGGCTTGTTTTGCTGGAATTTCTTCAATTTTGTCAATCTGCTGCTCAGCATGCTCAGATTGGCTTCCATCTTGCATCAATACACGCTGCACTGTAACTTTATTGAATGTACATTTAACCACATTTGTGTCTTCACTTCAGACTCTATCGTTTATCTTCACTTCAGAATATTGTGTGTCTTCTCTTCAGAATTTTTTGTTGAGTTGTTGTTTGCAATCAGGCTTAGCTAATTAAATTGTAAAGAAAAGTAAATGCAGATACCATTACAAACATGGAGTTCATAGAATATAGAAATACAAAGAACATTGATTTGTATTAATAAAATATTAGGTATACATGTAAACACGGGAAAAAAGATGTAATAAATTTCTGACCAAAGTTTAGAAATCTGGCTAAAATTTTGCCGGATTTGCTAACTTTTTGCCAGAGCCGGATTTGAGCTGGATTTGTAAAATTGCCCAGATTTCGGCCAGAGCCTGAGCCAAAATCTGGTACAGCCCTAAAAATTATGGATGTTCGTGTTAAAAAAAATTTTTTGTTTGTTTTATATTCTTTTCCTAACATTAATAATTATTTATCTTAATAATGTTTTTTTTTTTATTTTTAGGATGAGATTAAAAGTCATCCTTTTTTCAGAACTATTAACTTTGTAGATCTGTACAATAAGAAAATTGATCCGCCTTATAATCCTAATGTTGTAAGTAAACAGTCCTAGAAAGTTTTAAAGGAATATTTTTTACATTTTAATTACAAATTTTCTTTAAAAATAATTAAAAAACTATAATTTTGAATTTGAGTTAAAATTATATATATATATATATATATATATATATATATATATATATATATATATATATATATATATATATATATATTCACTTTTTTTTTTTAATTATAGAGTGGTCAAATGGACTTGAAACATTTTGATCCAGAATTTGTTAGAGAACCTGTCCCAGGTTTGACTAGTTTTTTTTTACCGTTGAAACTCGATTGTTAGTCATTAAAAATCACATTAGTACGTCACAACAACTTTAGAATATCTACTTCGATTTTCAAGTAAAAAAAATCGTGATTTAAATAGTTAAGTTTAAATCAAGTTTTTTTAATTAGTTTTGCAAAAACAGTATAATAGAATTTGGTTGAAAGATGTCGTTAAAAAAAAGTTATTAAGTAATTGTTTTAATAAATAGTTAAGAACTTATAAAAAAGTCTTATCAAAACAGCCTGGTTTTTATCTTTGTTTATCAAAATGTTTAAAATAAGGCTTAAAAACGTTAGAGCAAAAAAATTGCTGACTTTTATTTGCAAAAAAGAATAATTATTATTATCATTATAAATTCTAATAATTATTAATTAATATATTATTAGTTAATTCTTTTTTATTAGTTTTTTTTTTCAAACAGTATAAAGGTGCTAATAAAAACCAGCAATTTTTCTACTTTAACGTTTTTAAGCCTTATTTTAAACATGAAGTATAATTCGATTTATTAAACCAAATGTTTTTGTTTCACTTTTTATTGGAAAACAATTGAAATAGAAAAATTGAATAAAAACATCAACTTAAAAACCATTTAACTGAAAATCTTAATTATATTTAAACTTTTATTAGTCCTTTATTCAAGAAACAATAAATTATAAAAAACGTCCTTTTTAAAAAATCTAATTTTTTATAAAGTTTTTGACGATGTTTTTTGATTTATTGATGATAATTTTTTAATTTATTAATTAAAACAATTTCATTTATTTGTTTTGTTTTATTTTAAACGCATTTTATGTTATTAAACTGTATAAAACAGCAACAAAATAGCGTCACAAAGTTGTTTTACATTAACACAAGCTATTTATATTTTAAAGACAACTTTTTGTTTTATTGTTGTTTTACAGCTTTTTACAATACCAATTAAATACTCATTAAAAACACGTGTTTTATTGTCAGCGTGATTTTAAAAAGAGTTTAAAATTTTACTTCTATTCATTTTTGGCCGTGGAATTGTCTTTACAACACAAATATATAAATAAAAATTATAAAAAGATTTTAATATACAAATATATTTTCACAAAATGCTACAAAACTTATTCTTGTAAGTAATTATGTGTTGGTTAAAAAAAACGACTTTACTTTTAAATTTAATTACCAACTAATACGTTTGCAATAATGACACTTTGTCTACTTTGTTTAATTTGACGAACAAACGTTAGTTTTTTGAGGCAATAAAGTCAATAAACTTTGGACAAGATGCATTTTTTTTAATCGAAGAAAAGCATTTTTTTGAAAATTTGTTAGTGTTTATTAGTACGTTTTAGAAAAAATAATATACATCAAACTTTTTTTTTTTTAATGCTCTTTCATATGAGATCATATCTTTATAGCACTTAGTGAACTCTTTAACAGTTTATTGTTAATTCATAACACTAAAAGTTACTGTTTATAACCAAAAGTTGTTGTGTTGTATTCAGCTTACTCAAAGCGTAATATAAAATTTTTATACTTTGTTAATCAATATAAAGCTGGAGGTTCTTTTTCTTTTTACAAATGTCAAAAAGATCTTAAAGACACTTGATTGCTTGTTCTGCACACTGAGTTGTTCTGGGAATTTTCTTAGTGGTTCCAGATTCCAAATTTTTTCACTGAGTTTAACACTTTTTTGTGACCTTCCAAGCTGTTACAAAGCTTCTGATAATCATCTGCATTGTACATTTGGTCAATCAGGAGTCCGCCCATCTATATGAGATAAATCTACAAATGTTGAGTAGTGAGTCTCTTCTCTTTGGTAGAAGAATAAATGCCAAAAGAGCTAGTATTGCTTGGAAATTCCATCATGCATTATTTAATTTAGGTATTTTCTGAAACTTCATTTTAGAAAATACTCCAGGTTCTTCAAAAAAGTGGAATACCGAGTTAAATAAAATAGAAAATTTATATCATCACGTATATATATATATATATATATATTAGGGTGGTCCATAAAACAACTTTTTTGAGAAAAACCTGCTGACACCCCCTAAATGTGTTTTATCTAATGCAAAAACACTAGGTTTAAAATTTTTTTGAACAAAAATTATTTTTAGGGGTAGCTCAAGGCCCTCAAAAATTTGACGGGTCCCTAATATTTTGAAAAAAAAACTTTTTCTAAAGTATGTCAACCTGGTACTCAAAATAAGCAAAATTATATAAAAAATTTAAAAATGATAATAATTTTTTATAAAAATAATTTTTTTAGGTATAAATGCATAAAAACTATTGTTTTTAAGCTGAAAATAAAAAAAGTCAATATTTTCAGGTTTTTTGAGAATAATTTTTTTTAGGCATGTTTTTTATGTAAAATGATTATTATTTTTGAAGTTTTTATACAATATCGCTTCTTTTGAGTACCAGGTTGACATACTTTAGAAAAAGTTTTTTTTTCAAAATATTAGGGACCCGTCAAATTTTTGAGGGCCTTGAGCTACCCCTAAAAATAATTTTTGTTCAAAAAAATTTTAAACCTAGTGTTTTTGCATTAGATAAAACACATTTAGGGGGTGTCAGCAGGTTTTTCTCAAAAAAGTTGTTTTATGGACCACCCTAATATATATATATATATATATATATATATATATATATATATATATATATATATATATATATATATATATATATATATATATATATATATATATATATATATATATATATATATATATATATATATATATATATATATATATATATATATATATATATATATATATATATATATATATATATATATATATATATATAGATATATAGATATATATATGCACAACTAATATAATAAAATAAAATCACTCTGTATCAAAATCGAGATTTTTAATCAATTTCTTACAGATTCTAACATTGACATTGCCTGTCTAACTAAAACTTGGCTAAGCTCTAATGGTAAGCTAACTATTCTTTCCCGAGTCAATAGTAGTTAAATTTACATAAGCACTAAATGTCAGGATCGCATAGGTTGTGGTACTATTATATTCATAAACAAAAAATACTCCGATAAAATAGAACAATTAAAATTAATGACCAATCATGCGTCTAACTTAGTGTCTAAACAAGAAATTGAATTAACTCTCGTGTATACCCAAATACCTCCCTTGTGGATACTCCTGTCTAGTAATAGTGCCTTTATTCCAGTATAGTAGTCTCAAAGTGAGCAGCGTAATGCATCTTATCAACTCACACAACTTATTGAGCCAGCCATAACTCACTGTACATTACATTGGTAACAAACCACTAATAATTCTTGCAGGGGATCTAAATGGCTGCCCTACTGATTTTATTTGTCATTCTCACTAACTCATTTACCTTAATGCACATCCTACCTGAAAATCAGCTATTCTTTAATCTTAAGTAATGCTCCTAAATGCTATGTGTCCAATACCCTTCCTAGCTTTGGAAATTCAGGTTACTTAGTTGTAGTTAGTCAGCCTGCTCTAAATCTTTTCAAATCCACTCGCCCAGTTCACTGCAAGGTTGCTTACTGGTCAGGTAGAATTGCTGACACTATTGTGCTGATACGATTTACCGATCTTGAAACCTTAGTTGATTCACTGTATAAAATACAAGCTGCTTGCAATAAATTTTATTCTATACTCTCTGCTCAAGACATCCCACTCTTATCTAATGACTACCATCCGATTGCCATTACATCTGCATTATGCAAAGTTTATAAACGCATTATTACTAGTTTCATTATCCATCACACCAAACACATATGGGTCTCAAACAAACAGTTTAGTTTCCTTCCAAGATGTTGTCCAATGGATTTTATTATTCAAATTATAGAGGACTGGGAGTTATACTAAAGATAATTACAAATCAATTTTTGCAATATTCTTTGATTTTGCAAAAGCATTTGATCTTGTCAGTCATGACAAATTGCTGCTAGTTAATAAATATTCTATCTAGCTGGCTCAGCTCCTGGGTTCCAGCTTACTTATCTAACTGTCACCAAAGAGTTAAAACAAATGATCTCACCACTGACTAAAAATGTATTGAAGGCAGAGTACTTCAAGGTAGCGCTCTTGGTCCGATTTTTCATTCTCTTTATTTCTGACATTAATGCCTGAAACCATTCTCCAAAACTATAAAATATAATAAAAAAATATTCTCCAAAAATAACCATCTCCCACCTGAAGCCATTCTCCAAAAATATGCTGACAACATTCCAACTTATATAATCTATGATAAAGTTCCTGCCAACTTACCTCAATTCATTGTAGATTGTGTTGCACTACGGTCTGTTGTTAATGGAATGAAACTTAATAGCTCAAAATGTAAAGTTATTAGAATTAATCCAAGGTGCTTCAAAATTCAAGCTATACCTTCTCTCATACTCAACAATACTGAGTTTGAAAAAGTCAACAGCCACAAATACCTTGAAATCATGCTCAATAAGAATCTTAATTGGGATGAACAATGGACTAAAGTGCACAACAATATAAAATCAGTACCATATTTACTCAAACACTTTAAGCTTATTGGAGACACTCAGCTTAACCTTATACAAGTCTATAGATCTTATGCTATTAGTCACTTGATATAAAGTACTCTTGTTCTTACTTTGTGCAGTCCTGCTGCAAAAAAAGAGATGCAGCATTTCCATAAAAATGCACTAAACATTGGAATTGATGTAACCAATTCGAGCATCTTAATATTAGTTTTGCCATTAAAGAGCTGCTAGACAAGATCTGCATTAATATCCTCAAAAATATCCTTGCTGACTCATGCCATCCTATAACCACTAAATTAGCTCACACCAACAGTAGAAACCCAAACAGATTTTCATTTCCTCTGAACACCAAAGACCACCACCTATTAACAATCTTTAATTCAAAAATATCTCCGTATTCTTCATGATAGTGTAATCGACCTCACCTGCCACGAAACATTGAGCACTGTTCTCCAAATTGACTGCCAGGTTAAAACTCTCCCCACTCCTGATTTTTTTGCATTTAATTAATCATATGCATTAGTAAACACAATTTAAGTTGTCAGAAAAATCTGAACAAATGCTAAGTACATATTTTTCAAAATTATAACTTATAATTTTTCGCTGGAAAAATTATAAGTTATAATTTTGAAAAATATGTACTTAGGAGGAACAATGTGTTCAAGAATTGTTTCTTGATTCTCTTTTAAGTATATTAAACGAGGATTTATAACATTTTTGTAATCCTGCATTTTTAGTCTTTTTTTTCCTTCACATACATATTGATCATAACATAAGTCTATGGAACCCAATGTTCTTAGTTTCCCTGCTTTGAGGGAGCATTCTCCTTCACAATAAAGACAAGCATATTTGCCAGAATGACTTGAAAGTCCAAAAACACTGTTTGCACATTTTAAATCAAATGCTAAACTAAAATCTACTTCTTCGAATTTCAAAGGTTCCAATAATTTTTAGAGATTGCCATTATCCTCTGAAACCATCTCCACAATCGCAAGGATAAAACAACTTTTCACACCAGAATCTTCATACATTTCGGATGAAGAATAATGATTTTTTTGATCAAAAACATTAATAATAACTTTAAGGAAGTTTTGACCACCATCTATAGATATTCTTGCTATTGCATTAGGGGTATCAATACCACTTTCATCAATTATAAATTTGATAAATTCAGTTGTATTCTTGACATAAACTATATCTCTAACAACTATTTCATCACCGTCAAGGAATTCTTCAGTTTTACATTCATATAAAGTTTCTAGAGTATCCTGTAATTCAGTCATTTTAATATTAATGTTTGATTCTACACCAGTTAGATTACTGCGTAAAGTAGAACACAGTTTTTTAGTTTTGTTCTTAGAGAGTTCTAATACATTCGATAACTCTATAGTTATACATTCGATAAACATAATAGTTTGGAATGAAACTTGATTTACTTTCTTTCTTTTCGACTTATTTTCATTTACTCCAACTGTAACAGAGAGAAGATTTCCACCAGTAGACAACACGAACTGCTCTCCACTTACAATGTTTTCAGGTTCCATTTTACGTTTTAACAATCCAGAAGCTACTTGCTCTGCACCTTTATATCCAAGCGATTCACTAATATCAATTATATTGTTAACAGCTTTACTTTTGCAACAATCATGAGAAATTCCTCTACCTAAAAGTAATAGTGAGAAATTAAAAAACTATTTTAACAGTAGCTTGAAATTACGTAAAAAACAATAATACATTGAATCAAACTATAATGTAACATAAAGAGAATCAAACTTCAATTAATCTTATTTAAATTATAAAATCATAGTATTAACATACCAAGATTCAAATAGCAGAGCCCACAGATTTTCTTATTCACACTTGAAAAATTCAATTCTGGATCAACATCTTTCTGGATACATTGCAGTGAAGAGGTTCTCCTAATAGTATTTCTATTTATCTAAAATACAAATGTGCTTTATAAATTAAATCAGTGCTAATATATTTATTCATAAAAACTACATGATTTTTATTATATATATATATATATATATATATATATATATATATATATATATATATATATATATATATATATATATATATATATATATGTATATATATAAATATATATATACATAAATATATATATGCATACATATAAATATCTATCTATATATATATATATATATATATATATATATATATATATATATATATATATATATATATATATATATATATATATATATATATTAGAGATGTGCCGGAACCAGTTTATGCCGAGTCTCCGATTTCGAGTACCCGGCTGAAAAAACTGGGTCCGAGTCCGGGTACTCGGCACCGAGTCCATTTTTAAAAAGTTGGAATAAAATCTTGTGAAATCTCTAGCGCTGAACTATTCACACAAAATACGCTTTTTACGCTAACTAACCAAAAGTTATGTGGCGGAAGTACCATTTAGCAAAACCCCGCAATACAGGGTAAGGGGCCTGAGTTGTAGGGCCTAACCTTTTTCAAAAGTTGTGCAACAGTTTTTTAATAACTATATTTAGTTTAAAATTATTTTTCTTTCCTGGTGGAGCAGGCCTAAATAATATTTTTTTATAATTATTATCGAAATTAAAATATAAAAAATGTGTATAATATTTACCTTATATCTCTACTTTAATGATTTTTGCTCGATACGAACGAAAAGTGGTATTAGCGTTCGAAAGCATTATAAGCGTTTCATTCAAAACTAAATTGCTAAAAATTATCTTGCGTTCTAACAGAATAAAAAGAAGCTATTCTAAAACTTTTTTCCCCATTCTTTTTATTCGTATTCTTGAATTATTTCATTTAGCGTTACAGTTTTATCCGTATAAATTTTTTTGCAAAAATATATTAAAAAACATTTTAAGTGATCTCACTTTTTTAAGTTAATAGAACTTTGTGGTTATCGACTACATAACATTTTTAGACTTATATCAAGAAGTTTAATGGTTAAAGTTTAAATTTAAGGAAAAATCAATTTGAAGATACCCGGTGCCGGGTACTGCAACAAAATGGCCGATACCGGGTACCCGGTAAAACAGCCGAATTGCCGGGTCCCCGGGTCCGAACCGGATACCCGGCACATCACTAATATATATGAGTGTGTGTGTGTATACTTATAATATATATAGACAACCACACAAACACAAAAAGTAGCAATTCATCCACATTAAAGTACCTTTTTTATAGTCTCTAACCAGTTGAAAGATATGCAGTCTCCCCTTTGTTTAGACTAAATAAGTTTCTTCTGCAGTTGGAACAAACTACAGAAGGACAAATTTCAAGATCAGAATCGAAGTTTGGCCAGATGTATTCTTGAATTTTTTCGCGCACTGAAGGTGTTATAGGTGTTAAAGATTTTGATCTGATACCTTTATTTATCAAGCAAACTGCACAAGTACATAATTTGAAGTCTGACGCCATGTTGAAAAGTGAAAGTTATATCCGTAATTAAATTATATCATTGCCATAAATAGCTTATTTGACTACCATAATGGCTGACTTTAATTAAACTTACGAAAAAAAAAAAAGAAAAAAATTATAAGTTTTAACTTTAAAAATATACATACTTAGCACTTAGTTCAGATTTTTCTGACAACTTAAATTGTGTTTGCTAATGCATATGATTAATTAAATGCAAAAAAATTTAAAGTGGGGAGAGTTTCAACCTGGCGGTCAATTTGGAGAACAGTGTGAGAGTTCCACTGCCTTTTCCATACATAAATAATGTTTGCATGCATTTTTTGTCAATCTCCTTTTTAGTATTTAATGATGGATAAAACTGTACAATTCATTACTTGTAATGCTATTCAATTTTAAATAAAGATTTATAAATTTATATATACAATATATATATATATATATATATATATATATATATATATATATATATATATATATATATATATATATATATATATATATATATATATATATATATATATATATATATATTAAATATATATACACATATATTTACATATATTATTTTATGCGAGAAAGTTACGTGCGGAGTAATGCTAATAAAATCTTATCAAAAAGTCATTATTAAAGTATATATGTTCATTGAACTAAAATTTGTTTAGGTGTATATAAGAAAATGTTTTTTTTTTTTGTAATTTTATACTAATATTCCCCAATATTATTTAATTCTTAATTATTTTAATTACAGCTTCGGTATCCAAGGTTGGCAGTCAAATGGTTTCAGCTAGCGTCGACGATCCTGATGACGCTTTTTTAGGTTTTACATATGTCCCTCCCGCTGAAAATCTCCAAGAATAATTTTTAGTGATTTTCAATTAATATTTTAATAGTATAGTATAATTATATATATATTTTTTTGTTTTACTTTTTTAATTTAAAAAAGAACCATGTCTGTGTTAAGCAAATGTCGAATAGTTTATGTTGATGCTTATGAATCGGGTTGATTAGTAACTTAGATGTTTAATGAAAAAAGCATTTGCTATATATAATTCTATTTTTTTTTTTTCACAAAATTATTACCAAGAACAAGACTTAATTGATTTTTTTTTTTTTTATTGGTGTGAATGAATTTACTTTTTTGTTTTTTCTACAGTCAATTATTTTGACAGGGGGATTTAATGTTTTATTTGTTGCTTTTGTTTTTTAAGAACATTTCTTTGTAAATGAAATATTCTTAAAAATTTGTATAAGAAAATTTCGTTGTAAATGAAAAAAAATTTTGAGTTTAAACTTTTTATTCAAAGTTTTCAAATGTAATTATTGAAAAATAGATGTGAAAATTTTTTTTATAATTGATATCCTGAAAGATTCTTTTTTAAATTGAAGTAAATAATTTTTTTGTTGATGTTTTTTTTATTTCTGTCGTTCAAATGCGAAAATATTTAAAAATAGCATTTGTAACATTTTATTTTAATTGCTTTCCAACAATTATTTTGAAAAGATTTCGATCAAAGATTGCTAAAATAGTATCATGATAAAAAATAAGCTTTTTTTGTTGCTAATCTTTTAACGACTTTCATCTTTCAAATTCTATTTCTATTTTTTGAATTCAACGCTGTTTACCGTAGCATTAATTAAGCAACATTTTTAAGCCAAAAAGAGAGAAAAATTTAAAAAGTGATATAAGAACTAATTAGTTTTATTTTGAAGTTATGAAGTATTTATATAAAATAAAAAATTAATTGAAGAATGATTTTGTTTACCCTGCGACTTGGGGTCAATGATGTCATCATACGATAGGTAAAAGGTAATGGCAAAGTGGTAGCCTCTTTTTTTTTTACTGTTTAAGTAAATTGGTTTTTTTCATGAATAAAAGCTAAAAAGACGCATGAATACTCCTTAATTTGATTCTGTTTACATTGAGTACAACTCAATATAAACTTTCAGTTTAAATTGAGTTGTACTCAATGTAAAATCAATAAAATATTAAAATAAAAAAAATTCCCCCGTAAATAATCCACCTTAATTACATTTTGCTGGTAATTCTAGAAAAAAGAATCAATCGATTCTCAAGAACGTATTGCAATCATGTGTCACGAAAACAGATAGCCCATTGGATAAAATAATAATAATAGTATATACAGAATTGCAAGAAATCCTACTGACGGCTACAATTTGGCAAGAAAACTCTCAGGATAACTGAGATGAAAATTCTCAATGACTCAAAATAAGAAGTTTCGTTGTACCTCGGTTTCAGGGCGGTGGAGATTCAGCAGGTTTCTTACTAGAATCATATCGTTTTCAAGCGTCTCAAATTTGTATAGGTTTAATCTACCAGCTTAAAAAATTTGGGGTTGATTTTTGTATCGAACTTGATTTTCGTAGAAATTTTTTTACGTATATATGTTATTTTTAAAATAAAAGAGTTTAAACATTTTTCTTTTCTTATTTTTTTTATATACTATAAAAGATTTTGTAAATAATAAACGGTATTATAAATAAATAAACAAAAATAAAAACAAAAGCATATTTTAAAATCACAAATAGCTAAGAATCAGTAAGTTTTATTTTGGTTCTAAACTTATGATTGCTATTCACACACACACAGATATATATATATATATATATATATATATATATATACATATATATATATATATATATATATATATATATATATATATATATATATATATATATATATATATATATATATATATATAAATATATATATATATATATATATATATATATATATATATATATATATATATATATATATATATATATATATATATATATATATATATATATATCTGTGTGTGTACAATAGCAATTAAAAATGGGTACGGCTCATAGAAACGAACTTTTTTAGTTTGATAACTATTTATTTATATGTATTTCCAATAAATCACCACTTTTAACTCTTTTTATGGCTAAAAGTATAATAGGCTTATTTTGGTTACATAAGAAAATAACTCAAATAAGATTAAAAATATATTCCAAAGTTTTAAGTTGCGCTTTTCTAAAAAATTTAACATTCTAAGCTGAGCGTGATTTGTTTATATTTTTGAAAACACATAATCTAATTATCTGAGCGTAGAAGTATATTTATCTTTTCAAAAAATTTAGATAACTTTTATCTGTATTTAATAACTGTAACACATCTTAGCACTCAATTATTTTTATAGACTCTCATATATATGAAATCTTATATAATCTCATATATTCATGTATGTACTCGTATGTGTGTATGTATGTGTGTATATATATATATATATATATATATATATATATATATATATATATATATATATATATATATATATATATATATATATATATATATATATATATATATATATATATATATATATATATAATTTTTTCAACCTTTTTTCAAGGTAAAACAATTGTACACAAATTATTACAGCTTTACTTCATGTAACATTTAAAGTCTCATTAAAATGTTCAATCAAAATATTCATTCAAAATAAACAATGCTAATATTGGTCTATGTTACAATATCAAGAATATATAATTGCGACTCAACAAAAATATTAAATTCTAAATATAACTTGATTATTTAAGTAGATCAGTTGCCTAAAGGATTAAAACATTACATCAACATATCCTATATTTATCTATAAGCATACATGTTCTTTGTAGCAAACAAATAAGAAATGAAATGATCTAATTTAAAATTGACCTAAACTGATGCATTAAATTGTCTGCCATTTGTTTGCTAAGCGGAAGCTTAGCTTACCGATAGCATACAATATAACAGACAAAGCCAAGAAGATAAATAACATCAATCTCAAAAGCCGCTATATATTTAGCCTAATTTCCATTAAAGCCTTAATAAAAAACGCTCAAATCAATATCCACTTCTTCCTCAAAAACATGCCCATGTTTTCAAAGACGCGGGTGTCCCTACTTAAACCTGGCCTTAGTTACGCCTCTGCCTTATCAATCTCTGTTTCTAGTTAGGCATTGATTAAGTAAAACGATGTAATGATCTATTTAATATGCATTTAGCAATAAATTTAAAAAACCACATTTCAATATTATGACATTTCTTTATTCACATTTATTTATTCACATTTATTCACATTTATTTATTTTCGAACTTGAAATCATACGGCAAAACCCGTGGTTTTGCCAAAATGATTTCGAGTTCGATTATGGTTAATATAATTGAGTTTTTTTAAATACATATACAGACCGTACCTAAGCTACTTCACACACCTCAATCGGAGGGTAGGAAAACGAGCGAATTTAAGGAGTTTTTTAATGATAGCAAATACAATTTTTTTTAGATTTTAGTGCTCTAATGACAGGTTTTTTTCAAAAAGAAGGGGCTGGGAAACGGTACTGTTAATATAAAACATTTTGAATGTTGTATATGAACAGTCAATATCTAATCTGTGAGTGTATAAGGAAAAGACAGCAACAATTGAAATAACATGGGGTGATATTTTTGTATCGCTTATACTTTGTATCGTTACTATTTGTTTTGGTATTTTACCACATAAATTACACTGACAAGGTTATAAATGAGGATTAAATTCATTTTCTAATTCTTCAATAACTATTTCTGAGTTGTGTGCTGTCGTGATGCTTTTTTTAATGTACGCAATTATTGAAAATTACCAGACTTTTTCACCAATACCAGGATAATCGATAAGCTTTTTATTTTGTTTAAGTTATTTAGCAAAATTTAGACTTTTACTGGCTTTTTATACCTGCTGACAACAATGGCATTCATCATAATGAGGTTTCAAAATCATATTTAAATGAAGTGATTTCGATGTCGGTCTTTTGATAATATTGTTTACGGTATTATAACATAGCAAAATTTATTCGGATGAACATTTTCTAACTCATCTGATAGCATGACATGGAACACCTTTTCATTTTTGTTTTATTGGTTTGTTCCAACAGCGTAATTTATTTTCTGAGCCAAATATTTACAAACCCCACAAAAAATATTTAAATTCTTGTTATGAATCTCCATCTAAGAAAAAGAAAAGTTTTTAGTCAAGTGTACTTAATAACCAACAAGCTTTAACTTTATCTATTAAATAGTGCTTTCATTCATTAACTAAACTAAAATAATAAATCAATAATAAACAGGAAACAAAATTAAAGATGATATTTAAAGCTAAAATACATAAAAACTTAGTTAACTTTTTTACATAAAGAAATTATTTATTTTACATAAAAGACATTAAATAGATCATAAACTAAAATGGTGTCACTTTATAGCAATGGAGAGATATGATTTTTAAACAAGAAAAAAATTGAGTGCTAAGATCAGTTAAAAGTAATATAAAGATATAAAATTATAAGATATAAAAATATAAAGATATAAAAGTAATATAAAGATATAAGTAATATAAAGGTATAATATAAACAAAATTAAAAAATTTAAAGTTTGATCCGCTCAAAAAAAAAAGTAAAAAACCTTACAAACAAATCAAAGAAAGATTTTTTTTAAGTAAATCTGCATCATTCATAAAATTATGCTCTCTATTTTTTTACTTTTTTTTTTTTTTTTTTTTTTTTTTTTAACATCTTCACTTCCAACAAGGCTGCAAGCAACCACTATAAAAGTTGGAAGTTACTGGAAGAGAAAAGACTAAATCTGTAGAGCAAGATAACGATTGACTGATGACTTAAAAGATTGCAAATTATATGAATCAGGAAAGCAAGATGAAGGAAGCGAATTCCAAAGAACTGATGTTCGAAGAAAAAAACTAGAAGAATAAGAGTTTTTGAAGCACTTAGGAACAGTCACAGAAAAAGGATGAGACTTAATTGAATGGCGAGTAACACGAGAATGAATTTTAGTAGATGGCACAAGGGACGCTAGCTCTTTAGAGCAGTGCCTATTATAGTATTTGTAGAAAAGAGAAAGAGAAGCAACATTACGACGATGTGACAAAGGTTGGAGATTGGCTGCCAGAGCAGGTCCAACTATGTTTACAATTCGTTTTTGCACCTTGTCTAAAAGAGAAAGAGCATCATTAGAAGATCCGCCCCAGATGTGGCAACAGTATTCCATACAGGGACGGATTTGAGATTTATAGAGATAGAGAATAGAATCTGGAGTAAGAAAGTGTCGAGCTCGATAAAGAGATGCAACCTTAGCAGATGCTAATTTTGCAATGGATTTGATATACGGTTTAAAAGAAAGATCAGGAG